TTGAAGAACAGAAGGAACAAGAAACCATGTTTCCCAATAAACACTTTGTTTCAGACAAGTGTTAGCTCATCATTGTAGAACACAGCAGTTGTGCTCCACATACAAACACTGCATTTTTGCAAACGTTAAATTGATTAGATAATTGTGTGAAATGTGTTTGCTTGACCTGCTCATCACTGTATTTTTTTTGGCCACATAGCTACTGCTTCCTTTTTACTTAAAAATGCAGTTGCTGCATCTCCTCTGCTCATGGGTAACAGGTAGAGAAGAAATATCTATATTTTGTAGGGCAAGCTACTCCTGTGTGATTTGCTACAGCTTCAGTTTTATTCCCTCCCTTCAATTTTTTGTTATTCCTGTTCTGTTTTGCTTGCTGCCTGTGCATTCAAAAGGATGAGTATACCTGGCAGCTTCAGACAATGAACAAAATAAAATTTCTGAAGTCACTATGAAATTGGAAGAAAGAAAATCAAGTTAGTGGTGAAATTATTACCTATAGTCCTTTAAAATGCTATCAGCATTTTTCCTCCAGGGAGAATTAGGCAGCAAGAGAAAAATGAAAATTCCTACAGTTCCCTAAAGTTCAGTGAATCAGTTTCTTGAATAAAAGTGATTATCTCCTAGTTGGGCAGGAAGATTATCTGCATTCAGATAATGTATGAATTTCCATAAATTATATACGTATTAAGACCATGGTTTTGCATTTAGGTGGTTTTGTTTGTTTGTTTTCTAATCCAGATTGTAGAGCCCTAAGTTTCATCAGGCTTAGGAAACACAAGCCTGACTTCAGTTGGAGTCAAAACCCAATCCCCCCAAATTTAGCCAACCCACCCTGACTTCTCCCCAGAGCTCACTGCAGTGGCTTTGTGCCTCTCCTTTCTCCTGTTTGTAGTTGCAACCTCCCTCTTGTGATTTGACACAGAACAAAAGGCTGACATTTTTGACAGAGTCACAAACAGAAGGTATGTGAAATATTTCCATTTGCATCCAGCATCCTGTTTCAGATGTACATGGCCACACAATAATGTAGAAATTATTTTTCATCCACTTAATCTGTTTCCATTGAACTGAACCTTAAATGCTGCAAACCAAAAGTATAAGGAAAGAAGGAAGCAACCAGTCGTCATGTTCTGTGATTCATACAGTGACAGCTGCATACAATCCAGAAATGAAAAAATACAAAACACCAAGGTGTGTCATTGAGAATCCTTCAAACACTGACTGGAGACAGAATAGATTTACATTAAAACTGAAGTTAGTAATTAAATGCATATGTGTTTATAGAATAGCAGACTAAGAAAGAAAACTGCTAAAAGACATGTAGACTCTAACCTTTTTAGCTAAAAACTTATTTTGGTCTAGAATATGTAATGTTTGTTAGCAATTAATATTTGAAAACCCTGTTTTCTTACAGTATCCCGAAGCTTGAATTTTCCACTTAAATACCAACCATGACAAGGTCATGGTTAAACTTGTTCTCCATGGCCTACACCCACCTACGTGCATGGAGGTGATTTAAACATCCATCCAGTACAATTGAATTGTAGTGGACATATCAGATTTCGGGAAAAATATGTGTGACTTGGTACATTCAGAAACTATGAAAAACTCAATAAAACAATAAAACACACCCCAAAACAGCAACATTTTGATTTCTGAGTTACTTTTGTTGTTCTAACATCTCACATTAGAGCAGCATTTCTACTGCATTGGTAAAATGCAAGATTAAGGACTGGTTTTATGTAGTCTGTTTGGAGAAACAGGTTTATAAAATGCTAATTTAGCCAGGGTTTTGGTTTTTTTTACAAGACTTTCAAATAAACATTTTAGGAAAAGAAAGAGAATAAAAAATGAGTGTACATAGACATGAAGAATAACATTTCACCCTTGTGAAAAAGAAGACCCAAAATATTTTGTGTTATAATCCATTAATTAAAACCCCCACTTATTTAACAAAGCTGTGCATCTCTAACACCTGTCATAACCCACAATCATAAAATGTAAGGGAAGGATGGATAATCAATCCTGTTTCTGTGTCCCAGTGCTCTTTAAACATTGAAACCAGACCCAACCTAAGGTAAGAATATTGGTTCCCAAAACATTGCCAGGCTGCACTGCTGCCCAATTGTACATCAGATGCTGTTTAAGGTTTTACTAAACCATAGGTGAGTCCCTCCTCCCCTGGAGACAAACTTCATTGCAGGGGACATAAAAGATGCCTGAAAATGAGATATCTCACCACAACATATTCTTTTGTAACATACATAAAACACAATATAATAATAAACACAAATAAAATCTTAGCAATATTATCTTACAATAATTATCCAAGAAAGGCAGTATTTCTGCAAATACCACCATGCAAAACTGAAGAGATTTGAAGAAAGAAAATAGAAATAAGTAAGTCTCAAGAACAAAATCAGAAACACAGACTATTGTGCTGTGAGAATACACATGGCTGGGTCACTTCTTGTTCTGCTGGGCCAGTTATGCCTGGGCTGTAATTTTTGTACTGAAAGGATGTTTTGCAATCCACCATGTGGACAGCAGGAAGTCTGCTGCAGCCTCAGGAAAGCTTCCCTCTTAGCAAGTGACTATACTTTCTTTAGGAAAACTGAGTAGTTCTGTACATTGCTATTTAAAGAAAATGCCAACACATTTTTAATAGGTGATAAAGCAAGTTGCCATAAAATATAAAAGTCTGACCCTGAACTACGATAAAGCTTAAAGAGCTTTTAAAAAAGGTTTAAAACATTTTGTTGAAGTTATTTCACTTCTGAGTCTTGTTGCATGTAAACAAACCCAAAGCAGAATAAAAGACCTCATGCTACTGGAAAAAAAAGAGTCGCTGGTGTTTATTTCCTTGCAGTGCTTACTGCAGCATGAACTCCTCAAAACAGATACAAAACTGATAAAGTAAATTGCAAGATAGATACGCATCCCCTCTTCTCTCCCTGGCCTCCTGCCCAAAAACTAAGACAACATCAGTCTGAAACTGCAAAGAAATTTCAGGGGCCAAACCTGAAAAGCATGCAGACACATGTTTCCAGCTACATTTCACTTTCAATTCTAAAAATGCAAATTAGGAGCAAGCCAGTGTGAAGTAAAGTTAAGCTGGGATTAGCTCTGTTCTACCCCAGTGAAGAATGTGGCATCTTAAAATAGGTACTGAGATCGCTCATATAAAAAAATACCCGTTTTCTCACATGAGAAAATTAAAGTGGGCTTTTAGCAAAATAAAAATAATGCAACAAGATAATTACCAAAGTTACCTGCAAATCAACTGAAAGCATTCAAATACATTTTAGAAAGACCTTTCTCTTTGAGCCTATAAAAAGAAAAAGGCATCTGTAGGAAACATAGATGAAAAAATAAAACTTCTTCAAATATAAAAAGTGTTCAGCTTCGCAATAAGTTCAAGTAAATTAAAATACAGCAATTGCATCTGGCAGATAACAGATGCTGGGTTTCAGCTAAAAGCCCCAAAATATACAGATACCACCAATGCGGTGCAATGGTCTATGTACAGCCTTCCAGGATGGGGCTGCTTGGGAACCTTTAAGTCACATAAGTACTACCACAAGACAGCACCCTTTTCAATATTATCAGAGAAAATGAAGTTCAAAATTAACTTATGAAGTAAAAAATGTTTAGATTATTACATATATTGGAATAACTAGAGAAGTAACAAAACAAAAAAGAAAAAAAAAAAAGAAAAAGAAAGAAAGAAAGAAAATGTTTATGCAAGATACCTGACCAGCAGTTCCTTTCAGAGAATGGATACCAGTATGTGGGGCTGTTGCTCCTCTGGTGTCCATGTTTGGACACCGAGATGTGCTGGTGCCAGGCTGTGCTCTCCGTGGCCCGTGCAGCAGCCGGTGCCTCAGTGCTCGGGCTCAAGCTGCCGCCCATTGCCAGCACTCCCACAGCCCCGGCGCTCTGAGGACCAGCACTGCAGGGTGATCAGCTCCACAGAGCAAACCAAAACACGCTCCATGGGCACAGCAGTTCTGCACTGGGAGCAGCTTGTGTTGAGCTGAGCTCGGCAGGACCACTTGTCCCAAATGCACCCTCACCCCAGTGGGACAGGCGCCCGCTGCCCGCAGAGCAGAGGATGTGCTGGCCTGCAGAAGGGACAGCCATTGCCTCCCGAGGAGTGAGGAGGACTGGGTTCTCCTGTGGGCTTTTGACTCTATTCTCACAAACAATAGATAAAGCACCCTGACTCCCCAAGGTGTCCCCAGCTGCAGGGTGTAGTGCAGCTCCTTCAGGAGGTAGTTTCATGGTATGCCACAGGTTTTCTGCTGTCCTCATTCCTGCTGCCCTCTCCTGTCCCAGGTGTTTACTCTCAGCCTGCCATCCCTGTGTTTCTTTTAACATCCTTTTGTAGCAAGCACCTTCTCTCCTCCAAATACCTATATAATGAACATGTCAGGGATGTTTGATTTCCCTTTCAGGAAGTGTCTTGAGTGCCCCAGCTGCTGCCTGAGTTAATGCTGTCACCTCTTGCTCTCATCTTGCTCCTCTGCTCTCGGTGCAAGCGCTAGGAACTCTATTCAGAACAAATGCCAATGTGCTTCTTTTGCTAAAGACTCCCACCAGTCATTCCTTAACTGCTTTTAAGCAATACCCAGAAGTCAGCCAGATTCATGTATCACAACAGCTTCTCTGGAAGCCAGCACATCCAGTTTGAGAATATTTCCCTGGTAGCTCAGTACTGCTCAAGAACAAAGTTATCAAAATTAGCCTGATGTGACTGACTTCCAAACAATGGGATACGAGCCCTCAATATGACTTAATACTACCAGGTGCATTTTGAAGTTCTAGGTTATAGATGTCTGTGTTCTCTAAGTAGCACCTTCACTTCCTATTGCACTGTACAAAATTCCACAGGACTAACTTAAGATCATCTGTTTTCTGATAATCAGAAGTGAAATTCTGGCCACCTCTACTCACTCCTTTTCAAGATCATCTGTGTGTTTGATTTTCTTCAGCTTTTCTTTTGCTTAACCCTTTGAACTCTACAGGACTTACACATTGTTCTGTTTTGTTCATCATTTACATTGTCTGTTCCAGCAGCCTTTACTGAATGCCTGAAAACTGGATGCTGTTGCTCTCAGTACTACACCTTTCTAGAAGGGTTTTGTACTTTTTTCCAAATTTCTCTTGAACTCAATACATTTTCTGTCACCAGTTAATAGGACCTGTGAGTTGTGCACTTTTCAGATTCCATGTTCTTTTCAAGATGATTTCAGCATGTGAATTTTGCAGGAGGAAGAGGAAACAGTGCCATCACCAAGATTAGAGATTTGTAAAGTTCCATTCTTGGACTATGTACTCACCAGACTCTGCTCTAAAGAAAGGGGTCACCTTTGCTGTAGGCAGACTTAATGCAGAGTAGCTTGATTCCAGGCCTTAGTACCCTTACTCAGTCCACATAATGGTTAGAACGTGTGCCAGCTCTCAGTCCAGAACACTGTCAGCAGCCTCCTGCCGTTAACATCTGGGGTAGGTGTAACCACGACTAAAGGAACATACAAGCCCCCAGCTGGGACAAAATCCAGTCAGGAGAGACACTTCCTGAAGCTGCACCTGATGATTTTCCAGTCAGGTTGAAGCTCATTGTTGGATGGGATAAGGAGACCATAAATGCATCTTTGTTTCCTTCTTTGCCATCTTGGATGTGACTGTGAAGTGGTGGGCAGCATTCCTGGAGCACGGCAGACTGTTTTTGGAAGGTGTGCTGGAGCCTCCTTGAGGGACATCAATGTTTAGTCTAAACGGAGTTCCCAGTGCTCCAGCTCAGGTCCTGTGTTTGCCATAAATGAGTACGCTTTGTAACTTCAGAAATGTATTTTTTCCATTTAAAATTCACCACCAGCAAGAAAAATAAAGCCAGCTTACATATGGAGGCATATATAATGCCTTAAGTTATAATAAAATATTTTTTGTTTGAAGATAAAAGAAGTTTATGAAAATTATTTGGGCCTATTTTCTGTCCTAAGCAAAATAAATATGAGAAACAACACATGGAATGCACTCTGGAAAATATATGACATCATGTCATCATTAAGACACTGCAAATAACCTAGAAAAAGGCTCAATTTTGTGCCTTACAAATTATCTATACGCCATGCAGTGTCGAGAGAAGAAAAAAAAATGCACCAAATATTTCAAAAATTAAATTAACTTATTGGAAAGAGTGAAAAGTGACCGTGAACCCAAGTGTCTGGGGGAGAGGGTTTTTATTTCCTGCTGGTGCGTGAGCGAGTCTGCGACACGTGGTAGTAGCAATCTGCCGGATTGCACCTCCCGTTGGGTCCGGGCGGCCCCTGCGGTCCCGGCGAGCCTGATGCTCCTGGTGGGCCTGGCAGGCCAGCAGCTGCTAAAACAAAGCTACAATTAGCAGAGTCCTCACCAGAGCATGGGCAGTGCCCTGCATTTCATCAGCTGCACTCCAGCACATCCACAGGGAGGCAGGTGGGGCTGACCTCACGCTGCGATCCAGCTCGCGAGGAAAAGCAGGAGTGTAAAACCAGCGTTAAAAACAGGAGAAAGGCCTGTTAGTTCATCAATAACAACAGCAGAAATAGATCTGGAGACTTGTACCTGCAGGGCCAGGTGGTCCAGGATTACCAGGCAGTCCAATTCCAGGCTCGCCTCTTTCCCCTTTCTGTCCTCTATAACCTACACAGAATAAAGATATGAAAATAAGAGCACCCTCTTGTTTTAGGCAGCAATTTTCTGTATATCTTGCTGACACAAAATTACCAAGACAAATATAAAAATATAATTGGGAAAGCACATGCTCAGTTCTCTTTTTCAGATTTTTTTTTTTTTTCCCCCTGAGACAGCTCTTAAGTTTATAAATTCCTTCTGGAAAATATGAGCATTTCTAGTGGTAACTGTTACTTCATCTGTCAAAGGGCTCTCCTGCTTTGTTCACTAGCTGGACCTTTCCCCAAGATTTTAGGTTACCTGAAATTCCTCTACTAATGAGCCAAATGCAGATTTTAGCCTCTCTGTTCTGCATAAATCCTTACACTTGCTCTTTTCAGACTTTAAACTGGTAGTTGTATGATCAGATGTCCCCCACCAGCTGGCCAGTGTTGCACAGCTGCCCTCACATGGAGCGAAGCATCTCTGGACCTTGTGCAGATTGTGGGTTTGAAGCTTACTTTGACCCAATAGCTGTATATCATTAACAAGATGTGATTACTAGTCATATTTTGAATACTTGAGTCCTTTTTCTTCACAGGCCACAGTTTTGAATTTATTTAAATCGCTTCCACTTTCTCAAGTGCTGCAACCCATGCTCAACCCCTGCTTCTTTTTCCTTGAACTGTTTTTAAAAAGTTGTATTAGTTGGAAACTTTAGAGCAGAGGACTTGTTGCTATCAGTAAAATATTTTCCTTATTATTTCAAGCTAAGAGTATACCTTTATTATGCAGGAGAAAAGATGAAGGCATTTTTAAAGGAGACACCTGCCAGAAACCCTTACTTCAAAATGGCTCACAAGGAAACTCTTCTGTACCTAGCACTTCAGATGCTTAAGCAAAAGTTTAAGATTAATTTGCTGATTTCTGGTTGCATTTTGAATGAACATCTTCCTGCTTCAGGGACCAGTATATTTTTAGCATCACCTATGCCATACAATAAAGTATTGAGTTCTTCCTCTCATGAAGAACTGTTCCTTAGTTTGAATTAAGAGAAGAGCACTGCTGTGTCAATCCACCTGATGTCCCATGAAGACTAACTGGCACTGACAGGTGGATGGCAAAGACTGTCTTGTCAGTGTGCTGTGGTCTGTGCAACACTGCTGCCTTACAGGATATTCCAGAAGGAAATTACTTTGAGGGCTGTGGGTACCAATTCAGGGTTGTTACAACAGACACATTGCAGTAGGAATGGTACACAGAGCATTCAAGCTTTCTGTTACACACAAGCTCATTATACACTCCAGTAGAAAGTCTGCTGCAATCATTCCAGCTTTCAAAACAGAGCATCCATCATCTTACTCCTCTCAGCACCATGTCAACGAAATTACTGTGAGGCAAAAAAGTTACAAAATGCATGCAGGGTGCTATACATAACATAACATAACTAAAGGAAACCAACAGAATCTCACAGAAACCCAAATTCAAATTAACCATGCATTCTGGTCACTGAGTTATGTTAAGCAGAATTGTACAAGGCATATACACACACAAGCTATAAAGACTAAGAAAAAGGAATATGCAAGTATTTGTATTGGATTTATTCCCCAATGACCACAGTAATATTTATAACTACATCAAGTTGGTTTGTTCTGAAAAATCTTGTGCAACTTGTAGTATTGCTGCTTTTTGAAAAGCTCAGTCATATAACCACAGGATCCATTACATGTCCTATTTATTTTATATTTCTCAATGTCTTTAAATTTACAGTCAACAGTTACAATGCATTTCCCACTACAAACCCAGTTAACTCTAATTTTACAACAGAGTGCTGCAACTAACCATTTATTTTGCATTTCTTTATTTATGGAGAAGAGAGAGAAATCAAAGGTACCATACATCACATTTACAATCCCCACGATAAATATTACTGCACACATTACTGTCACACACTGTAATTGAAAATGACTGAGATAGACTGAATGATTCTGTAAACATCACTGGAACACAAGAAAATAAGGAAAAAATCACCCCTACAATAGGACAAAGAGCAGTATGGTCCAGGGTACTGACAAACCATTACTAGCTGTATCCAAGTACACATGCAAGGGTGTAGTTTTTACATGGTGGCAGGTAAGTTCTGCTAGCACTGACGTTTAATATAAAAATTCCCAAATACCTTGTCTAACAATAAGGCTTTATTTGATAGAATGCAAGAATATTAATAAAATACTTACATGTAAACAATGTGAACAATGTAATGTGTAATTCTGGCAGAAAATATTTGATTTTTAATGAGGTATATTTTGCTTAGAAGCAGGGCATGATTTGACCTCTAGAGGATAATATCACCTTCTTTCTGACAAACTCATACACGGTCAATGGGAAATATTACCATACACATAAAACAGATTTTTTTTTTTTTTTTTTTTAGGGTAAAGGCACATATAAGATGCCATCTAATTTTTCTGGTAGAATTACAATTCTAGTAAGAGGCACCTGCTTAATTCAAAAGGTAACTGTTTTACCAGAGCCTTTCACTCAGGGCGTTATGATTTCTGCAACCCCAAAGGTCTGTTACTACAAACACGTACCCAACATGGGCAGTATGGTAAACACTTGGTAGCAGTATGTAGCAAGTTTGTTTTCATACAGATAAGCCTTTGTTCATAGATGAGTAGTAAGAGCTGAAATTCAGCTCTCAGTTTGGTGCTTGCCACGAATATCACGGTCAAAAGTGTCACTACTGCTACAACCTCAGCTCTATGTGGAAATGACACAAGTTCATGTCCATGAACTTGGAGGTAAAAGGTATTTAAACTGCTCTAGAAGCTATTGCGCCTGTATCATGTAGACCCTCTTCCATCAGCATGGACAATGCAGCACCTGAAACTAACATGTCAAGTATCTAGAGAAATCTGAGGTTCTTTAATACAAATACAAGGCAAAGAGATTACCAGCACAGGGAACAATGAAACCAGTGTCCACTGTGTTTTACTGTGCAAATACTCTGCATTCTTAAAAAGACTGCAAAGCAACAGAGGGTGCTAAGATGAAGCCTTCTCATCCAGCCACCAATACATGTTCTGAGTTCCTTCTGTGTGTTAGAGCTCTCTCAGCTGAGAGGGAGCAGCTCGGTTTCAAATAAAAGTAAAACAGGTTAACTTTAACCTCCACAGCAGAGAACATTTTGCAGGAGGTATCTCTTGAAACCAGTGTGGCTGTTTCAGAAGAGTGACTGTATAGACAACATCCACTACAATGGGTTCCTGATGTCAGCCAAGGTTTCTACATGCTTCCACCATACAAATTAGTAATTATAATAAGAGACATAAACTTTACAACAGAGATTTCCAATAAAGATAAGGAGCTTTCACTATTCATTGCATGGTATTTTAATTTTCTGAGCTGAGCTTTTTTTTTTTTTTGATTCCTTAAGGCTACCACAAATTATGAGGACTTATAAAAAAAAAAATAAAATCCGCAATTTGACAGAAAGTGTGAACTTAAACTAGGATGGAATCTTTTCTCTATTGAAAAACAAATCAAGTCATATTAACATAAAGGATCTCTGGGTTGTTAAATTATCACAAGGTGCATTTCATCTAATGGACCAAAATTCCCTTACTATTACAATTTTAAAAATCCAGTTAAGTCAGAGGAGTTAATTGAGCTAACACAGGACAAACTTTGCAGATGGATGGCATTTATATATCTTGCTTGTAAAGTCTTGAAATACACTCTCTAATTCTCTAGAAGATAATAACATAGCTTAAAACTCATGCAGAGTAAAGTCTCTCTGTTCTCCCTTATGGAGATGCTGTACATTTTACCATTAGTCCTGCCTCAGAGCATCAGGTGCAGATGCATAGGTTATTTTTGAAATGAATATATATATATATGTCTATAAAAATCTTCCATTAACTATTTGAATACCAGTTATGTGTTTCACAATTTAAGTTGCAATTCTATTTTGCTTGCATTATCTATTTCTAATGAGACCATCCTATAAATTATATCTACCTGAACCACTGGGAAGATTGTTAGGAAAACTATGAACAACCTTGCTGAAGGCCAGCAGGTAAAAATTTTGGTCTTCCTTAGAAGGGAATGACTCTATGTACGAGAGTCTAGCAGTTCTTTAAATACAGTTTTTGAAAACCATGCCTACAAGTCCAAAAGTTAATATCTGTCTTTTTTGCTTCTGAGATTAACCCTCTACCTATTAGTTTGCTGTGCAGGAGGAGATTCTGTTGGAATCTCATTCCTGACCAGTTTCCAGGGGAACCAGCACCACAATCAAGGTGTATGGAGGGACCCCTGTGAATCCACAAATGAAGTTAAACACCTCTCCAGACACACAGTAGCATCTGGCTCTAGCAGGCTCTGCATGCAGCATCACAAACAGGACATATTCACAGAGGTCCTGTTAATTGCTTGCTGAAAGCATCTACTTCTCACTGCCTGTGTGGGACAAGTGACTCACTCTGCCACATATTGCTGCACACAGCAAATCCCTGGAGTTTGCAGTCTGGCCTACACCCAAGTGACAAATATAATAAGTGTCTGTCAGTCAATACCAAGTCTGTATTAGGACTTGTGCACACAGCATGCTACCTTAAAGGGCCCAGCCACACATGCACTTAATGTGCTTCACCAAGAAGTCTTGTTTGCTATGTATTTTATGGCTGAAGACATAGCTGGAATATAAAAAGATACTTCTAAATCTGCTCAGAGATTTGAATTTCTTTTTACTCTTGCACAAAGCAGTAACATGCACAGGCACAACTGGGGAAGGCGTGAAGGGTACATGGAAGTGTGCACCTCTTACAGGACGGTCTCTTATTCGCAGTATAAAAAAGAGGCAAGGTAAATTTTTGGTTTTCTTTCCTTGGAAGTGCAATTTTTTATATCTTCTGATGTATCAGAGAATTAAAGGCTTCTCACTTAGCTTACCTTTTACTAATGAAAAACAAGTATTCAGTGTATTGGTAAAACAAATGGAAATCATGTGTACATGGGGCACTATTTTACTTAAGTATAAGGTATGGAAAAGCAGATTTTTTTTTTCAAGCATAGTTATCATCTTTTAGTCTTGATGCTCACTAGCTGGAAATGAAATCTAGTGCAACATTTCTCTTCCCAGAAGTGTTTAAGACTATCCAGTATATATACATCATCATTGAACAATCTGGCACTGACATTGAAGGTGACTATTTGCAGTGATCTGAATGTTTAGGTAACGATGAAGTCAGTGTTGTAAGATTCTAAGCCTTTTATTGTTTTCTTTGATCCTTTATTCTTGTTCTTCTCATTCTGAGCTCATCACATTTTTCAAGCTTCTGTCAGTGGTTTGCGCTTATCAATGTTAGTAAGTCCTTATTCTTCTGATAGCTTTAGGATCCACACATCTTCAGCTTTTCTGGCATGTTCTTCATTCCAGTCTGACTTGCTCTGATTCCAGAGCAGACCAAACTAACAAAAGATAATAAAGAACTACCTACAGATAAACTGCAAATTGCATGTTACCCACCCACAAAATATTATTCATCTATAAATTCTTTTTTCCTTCTAGTCTGTTCTCCTTTTCCTTTTAATCTCTGAAAGGCTCTACAGTAGAGCACAACTACAATGAATCTGGATCTCTCAGAGCTAATTTTGCAGTAAAAGAGTTCACAGAAATGTGAGTCCTATACTGTCCAGGTGCATTGCAATGCACAAATTACAGTCTGGGGTATAGTAGATGCCTTTAGTGAAAAACTGATTAGTTTGATTTTTTTTTTAAATGAAAATAAGATTCCTTCACCATAAGAAGAATTCATTTAGTAATACTTCAGTTTTCACTGCTTCTTAAAGAAGTTTTTCCTGCCCTGTATTTTCTCAGGATCTGAGCTGAGAGCAGTCAGACTAGGAGATCAAATTTTCTTTCTTAAATAAGCTGGCCTCTCAATATGAAGATTAATCTAAATAGCAAGAGCATTGGCATTGTTTTTCTTCCTTATTCAAGTATTTTGTGGAAAAAAATAACTGCAACAGTAGTTCTGTCAGATTTAGATATCTGTCAATAATTAACTTTATAACTGATTAGAATAAAATGCACTGATTAGGAGTTTTTAATCAGTAAAATCCACACATTTACTATGGGTTAATATTTAGATGTGGTCTGGAAAAACATAAGTACATAAGTTTAAAAGTTAATCATTAGAAAGCTAGATAGGTAATCCTGGCTTACTTAATAAATATTAGCAAGTGTATAAGGATTTCAAGATACAACTAAAAGGAGCATATTTTGAAATCCCTACCTTGAATTCCACGTTCTCCTGGTGGCCCTGGCAAACCATCCTTTCCTGGTGGTCCTGGTGACCCATCTTTTCCTGGGGGCCCTGGTTTTCCATGAGCTTGGGAGGCAAGCATTGCAGCAGGCAGCTTCATCTGGGATACAAATTGAGCCATCCTTTCTTCATTAAACACAAGAAAGAGCTGATAAGACAACTGCTAGCAAAAAAGGGGGAAAAAAAATCCCAAAGCCCAATAAGCACTCCAATAAGCACTGAAACCTTTGGTTCCAACTCAGGTTCATGTCTGAGTCTTTACCCTTTGAAATAATGAGAATTAATTTGCATTAAAGCTTCTATTACTACTCTCTATTGCTAACATATTCCAATATTTCAAATGACTTCTGATGTGGGAGTACTTAAAACACATAGACAGAATAATTAGGGCTACCTTATATATTTGTAACTCATATTAAACTGCAAAGTAGAGATTAAATACCGTGAACTGTTCTTGGAATGTGCTGGAACCCTAAAAACAGTTGTAAAAAACCTGAAAGCACTCAGCAAAGATTATTAATTGCAGATATTTCAGAGTAGAAATGTTCATAGTGGGATAAAGCGCCCTTGGTAATATGTTAGTTTTCCTTAGAGGTAGGTAAAATAGGTACTAACCTTGGCTCTGTCTCATTTATACCAGATTAAACCCCTAAACATTCCACAATTTAGCAGGTATTTACAGTGCTGGAGTTTTAAGATTTAAGAAAAAAAAAAAAAGGAAGGTGATAGAAAGTAAACAAAATGAAACAATGCCAAAACTGAAAAATTTGTGTGAACAGTAGCAAGGTGTAGAAAATGGGATAGCTATAAAGACAAAACTACTTTATTCCCTGTAGGCAGGGAACCTTATAATGCTTTCTTTTTGTAAATAGACTAAATATTTGTTACCATTCTATTTGAATGGATAAAGGAGGTAACTTCACTCAACAAGCTGCTCTTGAAATACATAGTAGGTCAAACTCTGAGGGGTAGCACCCTGGGGAAAGGTGATAATACACAAAATGATAGCTTTGTTATAAAGTGAAAAACTGCCTGAACAGGTTAAGAAGTCTCAAGCTTTATTTATTTCTTTTATCTCTAAAAGATGGCTTTTGTCCACAAATATTAATGACAGAATAACAAAGCATATTGAGGACACAAGAAATGCATTTTGCAATGGAAGAGCAGCTACTGTTAAGGGGTGTTCAAGAAGAATCTTGTTTCAGAAACCTATCTGAGTCACAGCTTTTCTACCATGACTAAAGGAATGCTGGGGAAGAGAAATATTTCCTTTTCAGAGTAAGGACTCATCTAAGAAATTTTACATAATACAAAGGCCTTGGCTGAATCTGGTACTTGCCTAAAACTGTGCCAGAAGATGGTGGTCTGGCAGGGAGTTGTGGAATTCAGCAGGGATATTTGCTGAGAAAGCGGCACAGCAATTTAGACCTATGTGACTGAAGGCTCTCAAACCTTTCTCTTATTTAGACAGTCAGCCACTAAGTGGGCAAAATACTTAGGTATATCTATGGTCTGTGCTTTAGCAACACTTCAATATCTTAATGGTATATTGTAGATAAGCAGTATCTGCAGTAATTTATGATACATATATGTAACTACAATGACACATACTTCTGTTTGCTATTATGATTCGGAGCAGATTACCCTTCAGTGCTAACCTTTTACATAAGGAAATACTCTGTTTAACAGATACTCTAACTTCTCATTGTTTGAACAGAATCACTGAAGTAGACTTGTTAAACATAGCTACAGCAAAAAGGTACTTGCTAAGTCCAATCTAAGTTAGATGACCTGTCAAGAAATTTAGAGCAGAATTTCAGATTTAGTAGTATAATATTTCCTTTTCTTACCTTCAAACACCTTAAGAACCTCTTGTTTGATATATTTTTTTATTTCTTCAAGTGAAATTGCATCAACCTGATGAGGAAAAAGAAAAGTGATATGTATCAGACAGAATATACAGAGGACACTTTATGATGCTACAGAAATAAGAAATGCCTAAATTAGCATTACAAATATAAACCTTTCACCAACAGATAAGTGTTTTAATATATTTGTGTTATTTATTTTACTGCAAAGGCCACTTTACTGCCAATACATTATAATATTGTAAAGACACTAGTGGCATGAAGTGGGAGAAGCACTCCCAGCTGCCAAGATGACAAGGATGTGATGAGTATGGAATAAGTCAGTAAGGATGTCCAGGGACAAAAATCTGCTGTACTTTTGCATAGCATCTGCCAGCTTCTCACCCATCCTGGTGACTACTTGCTCTGATGCACTGTTGACAAGAAGAGAACCATGGCACTGGTAACTTCACTGGAAAAGTGTTTTAGAGCTTTACCTTACCTGACTGAGGTTAAAAAGAACCCATAACATGGATGTGTGTGCCTTTGTGCTCATGCAGACAAATCAAGATATCTACAACTGTCAAGCAGCATTGCATTGTCTTTTTAAATGCTGATTTCTCTTCTATTGAGAATCAATTTTGGCTGCCTCCTTTTCTTTCCCAGTTGCAAAGACTCAGACTGTAGCTCTTAATCTTATGGAAAACATGAAAATTAACTATACTGAGTAGCCATATTGATGTGCAGTGACTAAATAAATAAATAATTAAATCTTATCCATAGCAAATGTTTTAAAAAATAATTTAAAATAATTACTTCATCATGTGAGTATTATTTTTTTCACCTTAAATGTACACTGAAATTATCTGAGAGAAATTCTTAGTTTTTTCTAATACTGTGCTATTTCTCAGTAGAATTTCCACTGCTCAGCCCATGTTACCTTCATAACTGAATCCACAAGCAACTAAGATAAATTTATATTTACTTACTGAAAATCCTGGGGGTCCTGGTGAACCTGGGGGACCTTGGTGACCTGGTGATCCTGGATAGCCTCTGTCTCCTGGAGGGCCAACAGGACCCACATCCCCCTTTTCTCCTGATGGGCCAGGTTTCCCTCGTTCACCCTGTGGGCCTCTGTCCCCTGGAATACCCTGATCTCCCTGTGTAAAATAAAAGCAGAAAGAAAACCATTGCCCATAGTGGAACAAGACTGAAAAGTCACTTGAGAATGCTAAAAAGAAAATTCTTGCCTGTTCAGAAACAGACTGAGTCATGCAGGGAAGATGATTTTCCAGGCTGAATCTCATCTCTGAAAATGTATTTTGTTTTCTTGCACTTTTAATGTTGAAATCGATTACAAAAAGATTAGCTTGACTCTGTGCTATCCTCTTTTCAAGGACAGAACTTGAGTATAGAAAGATTTTAGCTCTTATACAAGCATCTAGAAATATAAATTATGGCATAGGTATAATTCAGGTGCTCAAATTCACACAGGCAAAAGACACCAGGACATTTCCTGTAACTTTCCTTAGAAGCCTGCTATTTTATGTCTTAATTTACACAAAATTATAGTTAATCTAAGTTATTTCCAGTACCCAAAGATACTAGGAGGAAGCTGGAGAAGAATTTTTATTAAGGATATATAGTGACAGGATAAGGAGCTAATGGCTTCAGACTGAAAAAAAGTCAGTTTAGAAGTGATATTGGGAAGAAATTCTTTGCTAAGAGGATGGTGAGGCACTGGAACAAATTCTCCAGAGAACTTTGGATGCCCTAACGCTGAAAATATATTAAGGCCAGGTTGGATTGGGCTTAGAGCAATCTGGTCTGATGAAAGGCCCATGGCAAGGTAGTTGGAACTTGATGATTAAAAGTACCTTTCAGCCCAGGCTTTTTCATGATTCTGTGATATATAAGTTCTCAGGTTTATAACCCTGCAGAGTAGGTACAGATAGCTCTTCTACTAGAGATAAAGAAAAAGGCAGGTTTCTCTAGAATCATGGTGCTATGCCAATGTGAAGATGATCCTTTTCTTCTAAACAGCCCACGTTTTACAGGCTGCCAGTGTGTAGGAGGCAAATCAAATACTAAAGCAACTTTTCAAACATGCAATTTTTAACTGCCTCCAGTGTTTTCTTTGTGTTTTGAAAAAGGTCCTTGTAAAAATTCATAAACTAGGTCATATATTCCTCTAGATTCCTCTTTAAACTCTCCACTATGAATTGTACAAAACATTTGTGTTTTGTGATCTCTACCTAAGGCTGAATAAAGCAGCACCTTTCTCCTTTCTAGCGTCCTCCTATCTCTTGTATTTTAACTTGTACCAAATTCTGTCCAGACAGAACTGCTGTTTTCCTGTGTTTCTACCTGCTCTACTCCAGCAGGTTCACAATCTGTGATCAAGGTATGCAGATAACAGCAAAAAATGACCAAGCATATATATCTGTTGAAATCACTAGAAAACTGGTTGGTATAAAACATGTTTTCAACTAGTTTGTCATTCATTTTATAAAGTAGTAGTAACAGCAGTGTTTAGTCACTCAAAGGATATATTTCAGCCCAGGTGGCTTACTCTTTTTTAAAATGGATTGTATGAGGACATTCTCATACTGAACAAGAAAACCTCAAGAGTTTTATTCTGTCCTTCCAATTTTGATGCTACTCTTTTCTGTAACTACAACAGCTTGTCTCAAACTGAAGGAACATGCTGTACAGCAGTAATAATAATGGCTGCAAGAAAACCTTGACTTTATTTTCTGTAATCATTGCAGTCTCTCCCACAGATGCAGACCTGTGTCCTTAAAGGCAAAACCAGAACATTGCAAACATTTAATTTTTAAGGGATAATTGTAATAACTGTTAAACCCTCATGGTCTTTTCAGTGTCATAAAGCAGCATCTCTTTTTCCATATTAAACAGGGAGATACTTCTCTGAATCATCAAAAAAAATGTGGTAGCCATGTAATTAGGACATCAAGACTTTGGGAATGTTATAAGAAGACCGTATCTCACCTCCCATAATCATTCTTGCCCACCATGACCTTGTTACCATGAACACAAATGTTTGAAGAGTTTGGGAAGTAGTCAGCATTGCACTGTCATTCCTGCTGCCCAAGCTTGCTTTATATAAAACATGACTTGTGTTTGTGACATAGAAAGGGCAAGATCATAGCTTTTGTAAAGTCTGACAACAGCACAACTGGGTTATTTGCTTTCCAATTTTCAGCCTATTGATCAATTTACACTGTCCAGGCCAACTGTGTTAGAAAGTCTAAAAAATGTGGTTTTCTTCTAAATGCAGAAGCCAAATAAACTCTAATTCCTTGAAGAGGTGTATAGAACTAAACCTCTTAGACGTCTAGGTGATTGCTTAAAGTTCACAGAGAATTATTTTCTTGATTTTGCCAATAAGATAGGTGCTGATGAGGTGTTTATATGCTCAGTAAAAAGAGAAAAAAATTATCATAATAGGGACTTACACGTTCTCCTTTGGGTCCTCTGTCTCCTGGTCTCCCCACAGCACCCTGAAAAATAGTTTTTGAAAAAAGATAAATTGATTAGTTGAAAGCTTTGTTGTGTATTCATGTGTTAGCAGAATGGAAAGCAACTGCTTAGGACTAACAGCTGTGATTTCTGTGAGGAATAAAATACACAAAAGCATTTTTTCTTACCGGAGGACCTGGCAATCCATCTTTTCCATTGATTCCCTAAGAAAAAAAATTAATATGTTTACATGTTTTTAAAATATAAAGGGCAAAGCTCAGTGTTTAGTGCCGTATTAGTGAATGATCTGAAGCTGCAGAAGCAGCAATGTGTGTGGCTACAATATAGAAATACAAAGAGCATCAAGATGTGCACCAAATATAATGATCACAGAACTTTAAATGACAAATTACAGGGAAATTTTGCAAATTTGGAATATTTTTGTACATGCACATGCACTTTTTCAGTAGCAGTTAGTCATAATACAACCATGGGAGAGATTCCTTTTATTGTAGATATCAGCCATGGTGCTAAATTACCCTTCTGCTCTTACAGAGATTATGCCTTACTATCACAAATCCAGATTCAGTCTTTGGTTGTTAGGACTTGTAGTATGGCACAGTTTTGGTCTCATGGGTTAAAGCTATTTCCTTCCCCAAAGAAGGTGGTTGCATTCATAGCTGGAAACTGTTCCAGACCCACATTATACTCCAGACTGGAGTGTGGCATGATCTGAGAGTCCTAGATGGTATGGGCCAAAATAATGCAGAGTATATTAACAATTGTACAATGCCAGATAATTGCAAGATAAATGCTCTGGCAGTGTTTAATTTTGTGGGATATTTATGGATCTGCACATGTAGAAAACTCACAGCTGTTTGAGTGAGAAATGATGACTTGTATGAGCAGAGAAGCAGGAATATTTCTTTCTCCTCATATACTCCAAAGTGGAGTTTTGCACAGGTTAGGCACCTTGAGCTAATTTGCTGCTGTAGCTACAGAAACTGTGTCTTCTTTCAAGGCAGAAGTGTAACATGGAGATGTGCTGTCAAGCTGCAGAGGTCTGCTGCTCATGCTCATCCCCAAAACACCAAGGTTCAGGGGAGATAATGAGTCCTGCACTACCCTTCCTGAACCCCTTCTAGAATATAAACTAGGTTTTTTTCAGCTAGCTCAGACAGTGCTGACTACACTGCTGTCACACTTTTATTACATAAAGAGAGAAGATTAGACATCTCCTAAGTGAACAGTAAATGCCTCAGCTGCAGTATTGCATCACCTGTATACAGAAGAGTCTCAAGGTTTATTCAGCCATGAAGCACACCCTTCTCTATCTAAACTGAAACTGAGAACTTATTCTGTCACCCCATCCTTTACTGACTGTGTTGAGTCTCTGGGTTCACATTCTCCCCCCTGGAAAAAGTACAAGAGGAAACTTTATGTCAACAAGATCCAAATGACCTTCATAAGTCCTTTAAAGGCAACATCTCAGTAACATTAACTATTAAAACACCACAGTACGAAGCATTTTTTTTTGATGGTTAATATTGAGCAGTGCAGCTGTGTGTGTTCCTCACATGTTATCTACTCTAACATAAAACAAGATGTAATGTCCTTTCTTTTGTAACTTCTGATAAACTAAAACATATATTTTTGTAACAAAATATATATTCAGTATAAAATTGCTTACTGGTTTTCCTTGTGGCCCTTCTGGACCAGGGAAGCCTATATCTCCTATAGGTCCTCTTTCACCCTAAGAAAGAAGAAAACACACATATAAATCTGCATGAAAAATCTTGCATCAGGTGTCTGAAATATTTGTTTGCTATTGTAAGAATCCAGAATTCAAATCTGTACTTACAGGTTCTCCCGGCAACCCTGGGGACCCAGGAGATCCGGGCTTTCCCTGAAAAAAGAGAATATTACATATTCATATTATTAGGAAGCCAAGTAAAATTTTTCTCCATATCAAAAATAAGAGAGTACATATATATAAATATATATGAGAGAAATATTCACAGTGTTGCTCATTAATGCTTTAAGAAAAGAAAAAGAAATATTTTACTGGATTTTTGTCATATTTAATTAACAGGCTCTTGCATTAAAATGTTACTCAGTCACTTGGTTTTCTTTACCCTTCATGAATACTGAGATGCTTTTATGAGATTTTCTATTACAACGTTGTAATTTCCACCTTGAGAAGTCATAGTCAGAGCAAAGTTTTTCAGTGTATATGTAAAATCAATGTTTTTTCCTTCAGGTAATTTTTCATCCTGAATTTTAATTTTTTTTTTTTGTGTATGACTTTACTACTGACTCAACATCTTTTGCAAATTTTCTTCATGATCTTTTTTTGGCCAGTTTTATTGCCATTTTATGTTCACTCTGCCAGAATTCACAATCCTCTCTTATGACATCATGCTGATTTTAAATGTCTGTTTTTTGTAGGATGCCCTTCTTTTAACAACTTGAACCTACATTTCCTGAAAGTATCCTTAGAGGATATTCCTGAAAGATCCTCAGGTGACTTGTACAAGTGAGAGATCAAACCCATCAGCACCAGGGACAACACTGGGAACAGCAGTAACTGAGGGTTTGTGTTGAAATAGGCATTGGTGGTAATGCTTGCAGGATCTCAGTCCAAGCTTCCCTGAAAATCTCAGCAAAACACCAAAGTGAAAATAAGAGGTTTATATTCCCATATGGGAAAATTGGTCCACTATTCTATCTAGGGAATAATGATGGGTACAGAAGATAAATTCTTTCCCAGCAAGATATGTAGATATATCTCAAACTCCTCCTAGACTACTGAAAAGAATTTATCTTACATATCTATTATTTTGTTGGTTAAAACTCCTTAGCATAAAATATATAGAAAACAAATAATTTATTTCAGGGGAAAATATTTTATCTCAGTGGATTTTATTAGAACTAAATATAGTCAACAGAATGCAACTCCATCAGTGAAGAAGGGACCTCATTAAATATTTTGTATCCACCTTGAATAGAGAACATCCAATAACTTGGGACATATCCAGTGGGAAATTCATAGGTCATGCACAACTGTGCAGTGTTATTATTAACAGTGTAAAATCTGTTTCAGAACAACAAACTTTGAAATTCTTACATCTGCTATAAAACGCAGAGAAATATTTTTCCCCTTAAATGTGGAATTCTTTTAGGAAAACCCAATGAAATGAGGCTATTTAAGATTATGTTCTCTCTTGGAACTCACATAAATAGACTAAATCTGTGGCTAATGGAAATGGGAGTGTGCAGACACATACTTCTCTTTATTTCATGAAACACATATTTATAATTTAAACAGCTCCTGAATGTATTGGTAGTTGCCAAAATTTAATAATAAATCTATTTGCATATAAATAACTCCATATTGCCTCCTGAAATATGGATAAACTTTTTTATTAAACTGTGAATGCAATCTAATATCTTCATTTCCTTTAGGAATAATTATATTTTCAATTTATTATTAGTTACTTTTACTTTCACCTACAACAAAGTTCCTCTGTGACTTTCAGAAACTTCTCTGGATATCATATCTAAATAGCTGACAAAGCAGTCCCCTAAAGCAAATGTTTGATCGAATTGATATGCAGATCCCTGTGGGCTGCAATAACTAATGTTCATGATTTTTCTTTGTGATAGAAAGATGCTCAGAAATTTGTTCATGCCCAGGAACACAAAAAATGTCTTTATCTATATTAAACAGAGGCAATGAGAAGAGTCTCACATTTCTTAATTAAGCTTATGCAGCTTTGAATTCCAGATTTATCATGTATTCACTCCAATCACTATTGTCATTTTAATAGCAATATGAATCCTTGCTGCTATTAAAACTCTACTTTATTTAGAGAAAACCCATAATCTTCATACCTACGAATAAAACATAAGCCAAGCACTGGTGTTCCACAGTGACTGAGATTACAGCTCAGCACCCTTCTTGACCTGTTTTTCAGCTTTTAAAACCAGAGTTTTCTTTAAAGAATATACATACCGGTGTCCCTGACACTCCCGGTGCTCCAGCTGGTCCACGGTCACCCTAAAGAAAAGATAAATCTATGTTTAAACTACAGAAATCAAACTAGAAGTTTCTTGATGGATTCCCATTAAAACCCAAGGAAGTGAACTGAAAATGAGGACAAGAGCCAGGCTAAATGCTAATATTTATCTGTGCCACTGGCTCATTATACAGACTTGAGCAAGTAACCAAAATCCTTTGTTTAGGTTCTCTCATGTAATGTTTCCCTTTGTTCCTGCGCAAGACCTCTCTTGAAAAGGGATGGAAAGTCCCTAACTTATCTGTAGTTCTCCAAATAATTATAATTTGGGGTCATGGCAATAACCAAAATTTACACAGGGTAATTCACTTTCATATCAACATACCCACAGTTATGATGTACCTTTCAAAGAAGTTTTTGCTTTCCTGCTACCCAGTTATCCATTTACTACAAGCCAATGTCCTCTGCTTGTGCCATGGCCCTGGGCAAGGGTTCTCGTTTATAGCACACAGCCACCTTCATCTATGCTTTAAACTAGGACAGTGTTTTTTTTTGGCAGGAACTGACAAGTTACAGGGACAAATTCATCTTTCTTAACAGCACTGTAATCCAAAGCAGACAGATAGAGCTCAACAAGTGGTAAAACTCTACCCAGAAGTATTTACCCACTGCTGACGTGTTGGTCTGCAACACTATGCTCTGTTACTGTAACATTGGTTACAAATGTCAAAAAATCAGGCTCCTCTTTTCTGAATTTATGGCAGAAAACCCCAGGCACTGTTGAAGCCATACTAACAGGACAGTATTTTTTCTGAGATGGGTTTATGTTATGGGTTATGGAGCAGATGTACTAAAGCTCTGTAAACATAGCTACAGCCACATTGTGTTCTGCATAAGAGACCCAAGAATTTTAGGATTTCTGGTTTCTATTCTTATAAGTAATGGTGGTTTGCCTCATCCTCATAATTTTGGTTCAGGTACACAATGATACTGGTGTTGATTAGGAACACTTAACTCCCTTACACACAGTGTGACAGATGACAAGATGCATGTCTGACCTGGTGTTGGGAGGAAGCAGCTTAGAGGACAGAGCTCAGCCTGTCCTGCTCTGGACACCCAGTGAGGAACACAACCAGCGCCTCTGGAGCAGCGGCTGGGAGCACTGAGTGCCTGCAGCAGGCAGGACACGCAGTCTGGAGCCTGCACTCTGCCCCAGTGGTTATTCCAGACCCAGGACTTGTGGTATTTTCTCTATATGCTGCCTATGAAGCTAGATTTTTGTCTGTTTGTTTGTTTTCCCCTAGAAGCTAGAAATGCCTAACACTTCCCTTACAACATTTTTTTTCTTTTCAGGGTTATTCTGGTCCTTTCAGCAGTCTGGCTTGCAGCACAGCTCCACCAGCTACTGTCAGCACAGCTGAGGGAGGGGACATTTTACCTAGAGGACATGAAGTTCTTAAGGCAGTTCATGAAATTATCATGAAATTACAGCCAGTGTTGTCTGTAGAAGATGGTATTCTGCTACACATAGGAGCATCATGGCTCTAAATTAAAATCTGGCATGCACTATACTGCTGGGACTGTCAGGCTCTGAGATTCTGTTCACTTATTTGCACCACAAATGTGGAATTCTGACCAAATTTAGTTATGGTAACAATATTTTTACTTTGGGAGAAGGCCAAACATGCACTTAGCTGGTTTATATGATATGATCCATTGCTTATTCCCTTTATTTAATTCCTGTCCCCACTTTGTCTCTGTTAGACCTGTAATGTCTCCCTGTGCTTGTTCATTTTTAAATCACACTAATCTTTAAAATCCTTAATTGCTTGTAAATTGTAGAATTCCAGAACAAGAACCATTTCATGTAATTTAAGCATCTAGTATAACTACCTTAGATCTTGTCACTGACTGAAAAAGTAGGAGGAATATACAGTGATATTGAGAGGGAAACTTTTAATTTATATTTCTTTGTGATAAAAAATAAGTCTCAGTAAAGTACTTCTGCATGAAGTAACTTAATAGCATAATTCCAAAAGCTGAAAACCATTTCATTTTCAAAAAAATTTACTCTTTTTTCTTCCTATATTAGAAGATATGGCAAAAATCAAAATGATTTTGCTGACAGAAAACCTATTTCCAGATTTGTTTTTACTTGTCTGCTAAATGTTTTGTACTTTGCTATATTTAGAAATTAATACCAAAATCTTGACTTTTTTAGCCTTTTATGAAAAGCTTTTCTTTAAATTCATAATCAGGCTCCAAAATTAGAAAGCAAAAGGCTCAGAACAAGACAGAGACACTGTAAACATAAGATGATATTCAAGAGGGAACAGGAACCATACATAGGACAGTGTATGTACTAACTATATTACTATCAAGTATAGTAGTATCCTATCAAGAATATTACAAGGCCTTCTACAAAAATTTTCCCTTTGCAGAAACTGAAATTTTGTGTTTGCTGAGTATATTATTTACACCCATGCTAAAGGAAAAAAGGAAAATATAAATAAGTATGCAAATATTTTTTCTTACAGAAACATTAACTTACACACGAAAAATAAACCAAACAAGGCTTCAGAAAACATTTAGTTGTAGCTAGTGGCTACTAAGAAATCATGCCATCTTTTTAAGAGTCCTACCTTTTCCCCTGGGAGTCCTTCCAGTCCTGGTAATCCCATTGGTCCTGGGTCTCCCTGTTTTAATTTTTTTTTTAATTAAAAGATTGCATACATTAGAATTTCTTTACTCAATGTGGGAAATGTTGAAGGGCAAGCAACAGCAGATTATTTAATTTGAGATAACTAAAACAGCTAACCAGTTTTTAGGTGAACAGATTTTGTTATGCCTCATTTTACTTATTTACAAGTTAAGCTTTTCCCAGAGGCTCTGTGTGAGTATTTGGCTCAATGGTTTAAATTTGATGAAAGATGTTATACAGAATTACAGAGCTAGGTGCTGGTACAGAAAGATGTATTATGGTGAAACATAAAAAGAAGCTTTGTGATTTTTTTTGAAAACAAATTTTTAAACTGTTTTAGAAAACGTCTTACAACTCCATGTTTTGTTGTCACTGCTGAGAGGTTTGGGTTTCTTATTGTCCTTCAGAAGTACCATGTGTCAAACTACTTGGGGAATTCTCTATCAAAACCAAAAAATAAATACATACCACTGTTCCAGGATCTCCTTTTGGACCCTGAAAAAAAATGCAAAAAGGAAGTCACATTTAAAAAATAACAGTTACATGATAAGATGGGTTTTTTAATGACTGCATTTTGAGTATACTTTGCTAATGCAGTGCATTTAGAATCATTATTCATTCCAGTCCCAGCTGATCAATTCAGTACAAAATCTTAGTAATATTTTGGGGTTTGTTTTGCTGTTCTGGAATACAGAGAAAGACAGCTCTGTTGCTCATTGCCAGCCCATAACTGTGGTTACCAAAGAGACAATCATCTCCAAACAGAACTTGCCTATGGTGCTAAAAAGGAGGAGAATGTAAATAAATGCACAACATCTTTAGTTGCACAGAACCAAAGCAACAGTGTCCAGCTGCAAGGTGTTGCATGCAGTGTAAAAGACACCAGCCCTATATTACTTCCATAATAAAATACTTAGTTTTACACATTTTCTTGCACTGTAGTGACATGTAGTGAATCAGTGACTGAACTCATATCAGAATTCCTGAGCTTCTCATTTCTGGCACCAAATTTCGTTCACTACAAAACCTTTTCAAAACTATGCCTCCATGAACTATAAGTACAGTATCACACATTTTTAGTATAAAAATACTTTCACTAAAGAGTCCAATACCAAATTATGTACAATTTTTGCAGCCTTTACTTGCTAGGATGAAATTATTTAATCAAAATAAGCTGGTCTCCAAAATGGGCTAAAGTGTTTGGCAAATATAAAATTACAGTATGTATGCTACATACCAATCATATAATTATTTAAATTTTTCAAAAATAAAATCAAAATCCACGCAAACTAACCCTCCTCTGTTTCTATGTCATTAGCTACTAGAAATGAGATTTCTGGTAGCACTTACCGGAGGTCCTGGTGGACCTGGATAACTCGCGACACTCACTCCCCCCTGTAACAGCAAGTTTAAAAGTTGAGTTGGGCTAAAACTGGGTGGGGATTGAAAAAAAAGCAATTAACATTAAAGAGAAATACCTGCAGTTTATATAAGCTGCTCATTCCATTTCTTTCATTGTAAGGCATACCCTTTAAAGCATAAAAATCAAGTAAGTGTCACTTATGAATTAGAGAGGCAGAACTATTGCCCTGTTCAAGTCCTGTAGTTCAGCAAAGCTGCGGTATCCATTTTGTTCTCAATTTGCCAAAGAGTCCAGATTCTCAAAGAACATAAGATACACACCAATACAGTTTGGTACTTTTTAAAAAATTATAAACCAAGAAACCTGTAAATCAGTGTGCATCATAGTTTCATTTTTATTATTTTAATTCTCCAGAATAAATTTTGGTGTTAGGTACTGTTCCACTTAATTTAGAGTCTAGTGAGCTCCACGGACTTTGCCTAGATTCCCTAGGTTCTCTGATCTCAGGTATCCAAGCTGTCAATTTTACTCTAATAATATTGGATACCAAGGTTATCTAATTTGTGGGGTTTCTTAGAGGGCTTTAGTGATCTGAACTTACTCAGTGATGAAATTAACAGTGATGAATCGTGAGGAAAAAAAATGGAGTAGAGAAACCTTTTGAAAAAGGACACTGTTACCTTCCTGCAATATTAATTTTTATTAGACCAACATGCAGTTCTTTATATTACATTACATTTTACCCACAAGCATATTGTTCCTAATATAAACTCAAGATATAAAACAAAATGTCTCACCGGAGGCCCAGGTGGTCCAGGTTTCCCAGGAGAACCTTCACTACCCTAGTACAGCAAGAGATTGATGTAACTCATTTACTGTAACTGGCCACATCTATTCCACACTCAAGCTATGATGACCACAATGACAATAAACAAGAGATACAGACAATAAGAGCAGGTAATATCAAGAATAAATGCTCCTGCAATGTTCCTGCTTTAGCTTTAGGGAAGGCATAAATCATTACTTTTTACTAGTTTTTATTTTGTTAGTTACTTGCTGCTTTATGTGTAGTAACTTCCTTATGGCAAAACAACAGTGGTAACCTGGGTTGGGAAACATTTCGTATGTACCAGGAGGGAGAGGAAAAAAAAAAAAGTTGTTAATATTAATTTCTAAGGAACTGGATGATAAAAGTTAACATTCATTTTATGCTTTATATATTATTTTGCAAAAGCCAGTCCTCAGTTGATCATTCATATGTAAATAAAGAAGAGCTACAATTTCAAAAATACAGTTTACCTTAGAAACATATTGAATATAAATAAAGATTTTTTTAAAGAACCTTCCTTATTAAGAGATAAAATGAATATATTTTTGTTTTTTTGCTGTAAAATATTCATCTATTGTTACCTGTATCTCTGGCCTGTTCTGCTGTTGTGTACTGAATTGTCTATATTAAATAGAGCATAGCTGCTGAGACTTTTCTCCAGCAGAATCATGGGGTCTGTGGATAGTAGAGAGCTGCAAAGGTTTCAACATAAAATTTCCCAAACATCTTTTCAAAATCTCATCACTACAATTCAGATAAATTCACTGTATAATTTGGAACAAGTTTGTCAGAATCTTTCACTGTCTTTGTTGGATCTTATTTAATGTATGTCAATGATACACTTAAGTCACAAATCTAAAATTTCTAGGGTGGCAAAAATCAAGCTAAGTGCTCAATGCCAAATATAGTTCTTACTAAACATTTATACTAGGATAATTTCCAAATGGCCCTGCTAATTGTTAGAAATTATCAGCCTCCCAAGAGTGATTTGAAGAGCTTCATGGGAAATTAAAATCCTATTATTTTAGAAAGCACATTATGTAATCAATTCTCAAGTGTGTCCCAGATGAAGGACAGAGGAGAAATTTACTGGGGCTTTATTTCAGTTTACTTCATTACTCTTCAGCCATGTGACTTTTGCACTTTTAGAATGAGGAGACATGAGCTGCAGAGCAGGGGCTTCTCATTCCCACTTGTATGTGAATTGTGAACAAGGAACCATCAATGTTTTGTGTTTTGCATTCAGTTAGATAAAAAGGAAATAAGTAAGGTAAATTTTTGTTACCATGATCTGCAAGGAGACAACTCTCATTCAAATTTTATACTGAAATAATTTCAGAGCTTTACAAAATAGTTTTCTTTCTTACTCATATCAAAGTTTGGTAGGGAATTAGAATCCCACATATGGATGTGGCAGTGCTATCCCTGGAAAATTCCAGAGTACTACTGAAAGAAAAGCTATATTCATACATAAAATGTAGAACTTGTCCCAGAAAGTATTTTGCAGCAGTTTGTCTCTGCTATATTGCTCTGATCTGAGGTATCCAAGAAATGAATTTGACCTCTTAGTTATAATGGATAATATCAAGCTCCTGATAAAAGAACACATAAAATTTTGAAAAAAGTAGTGCAAAGAGAGTGTAAATTAAGTATAAAGGAAGCTTACATATTTTTTCAGATTAACTAACACCCAATAACTTTCAGTGCTTGTACAACTACTTTTGAATATAATATTGGTAAAAGAATGGGAAGCACAGCAAGAAGTCACTAGTCATATTCTAGGTCAGAAACATATTTTCACTTTCTTAAACCTTACATAATGTGTTACGCCTAAAGAAAGTCCTCTGCAACTTAAATATACCACAGGGGCTGCAATTCAAAACATAAACCCATATGCACAGCACTGCTTAGGGAAAGTACTTGCAGTGAAACACAAATCAAAATCTGAAATGCGCGCCACATTCTTGTTACACTCTTGCACTTATTTAGAAGACCCCAAAACACAGTGTAATGGGATTGCAAAACCTTTACAGACCTCTAGCAAGAATAAAAAGAAGGAATACCTTTTCTCCTTTTGCTCCAGCTGGACCGGGATGTCCAGGTCTTCCTGGAACTCCCTGCACAGCACAGAATTGTTTGTATAAGTTAGGAAAAAAATGACACACAATATTTTTGCAGTGTCACTAAGTTCTTAAAACATGCTTTTTGGTGCCTAATTATAGTTCTCCTTCAGGTTTAAATATTTCTCTTCTCTTTGATACAACAGCAGTGTCTTCCTAACAAGTCCTTTGAAGGGTAAGACTTGTGTTCACTGTTGCATTTTCACCTTGGCAAATTAAATGTGGTGACCCTAACTGGCACATCTTGATCCGGCCGAGAATCACATTGTATTGCTAAATGCCAATTTATGTATTCCACATTAAACTTCTTAAATGTGCTACAATTTTTGAAAGAAGTATTAGTATTGTCATGAAACCGAGGAACAGATAATGATTGTACTAACTAATGTAATTCCCATATGTAGAAAAGAATATTTGAAAACGTTTCAAAGAGGACCTCTCCCAGTAACACCAACAATTTTAATGATAAATTTCAGTGACTTTAAATATTGTTAGCTTTTTCTCATTCTTTGGTTTTGAATTGTGAAACCAAGTAATTGCTTTGTTTTTGCACTGTTTTTTTTTTCCAGAATGACTAACTGGAATTATTTTTAGATTTTATTACTAACATGACTCTAACTTGGGTAAAAATACACATTTCACTGCAAGTTTGCACATCATATATCATGTAACCTTACAGATTCTCTAGTAATGTCAAAACTTAAAATCTATTTAAGTTCCATAAACTTTGAGTCCAGACAATTATGGTATTTTCAGTAACATCAACAGCAGTATAGTTTACTACACTAGAGCCAGAATGGGTAGGAATTTATTATTCCTCTCCTAAAAGATAAAAGAAAGGACTAGATCTAGGCAGTTATAGCAAACCCTACAGAACTAAATTAGATCACAGGTGATACCACACACTTACGGATGGGCCACTGGGTCCTGATATACCTGGCAGTCCAGGAGCACCTTGAAGACCCTGGAGATTAAAAGAGCACATGTCTAGTTCCTCTCCCACTTATACTTCAAAAATACTTATATTCAGAATGTCCAGCAGTACTTTACCTGCATTACAGTGCATTTTCTTCTAAAATTTAGGCATTATTTTTGATAGCAAAAAAAAAAAAAAAAATTAAACACCCCACCAGGTAAGGAAGAGAACCAGGTTATCAGTGAACCAGGTTAGAGGCAACTTCTTTCTTCAGTGATAAACACCATTTGTCATTCAACCTTTCACATTTTTAACCTGTATTTTGTAAATAGTTTTGTCTTTAGTTGTGCAGATAAGAACACATTTCAAGCTTTTCCTAAGAGATTAATTTTCTATTTTCTTTTATTAAAAGGCTTTTTTCCTTCTTTTTTTTCTAAGACGTTTAATCAGGCTTCTCAATATTACCTGATGCTATCTAAATGAAATGGTACTTTCTGCCTCATTTTTGGTTTGGCTTTTTGGTAATTGAACATGACATTTTACATAGAATTTAATGATTCACTTTCCTGCTTGCATTCAATTTGATTGTCTGAAAATCAATGGATTCCAGTATCCACTTACTAAACACACAGCTGTGCAACTCACTACAGCAGACAGAGGTGGGATTTGAGACAAGCCTGTATGTCACTGAGCATCCTTCCTCTGCCACACCAGGCTCGAGTGCAATTTTAGACATGCAAAAGTGATGTACTAATGAGAGCTAATACTCCTGGTTCTCCCTATAATCCACAAAGAGAAATAGATTCTTCCAAGCAATGATTAATTTCATCTGTCCATCCTCCGATAAAATCCCCTTAGAAAAAGGCGTATTTCTCATTTGAAATGCAATAGTTAAGAAGAAATGTCTAAGGAGCCATTCCATGCAGTCTAGAAAGCCACAGAGGTCAGGAACCCTGAAACTGGTGCTCTCAGGGAGAAACTGAGGGCAAAACTTTGGAGAGAAATAAATCAGCAAAAATGTAGAGATGGAGAGACATTGATTTTTCTTTCTTGCTCCTACACACAGAAAACATTGATCCACCTCTGCAGCTTTTCAAAGTGGCAAGGTAACTGCTAATGTGCTCTCTGTTCCTTTTGAACTCCTTTACTCTGATGGTAGATTTATATGAAAAATTAATACGAAACCAAAGGAATATCTTCTGTAATTTTACTACTGACATTAAAAAAACCTCCCCTGAAAAAAAAAAGTGCTTTGAAAATGAAGATAACAAGTTCAACAAAGATTAAAGGGTGATTGGAGAGCATATGGAAGTTAATGAGCATATTTCAAAGGGCTTCAGGTAGGCTTCTCTTTCTTCCCATTTCTCCCCATTCTAAAAAAATGATCAAAATAAAAATATTGAAATTTGTAAAAGAAGTTAGTTTTAAAATGTTTTCATACATGTTTCTGAAAAAAAAAGATTCACTTGCACCTTCACCATGTCATTATCAAAAGCTGCTGCAAAACACTGAAAATATCACAGCTAAGGCAGTTCACCAGCTCTCAAAAGGTGAAGAAACATATGAATAATGAACTTATAAACACAGCATTAATGAAAAATATACAATGAATTATCTCTAGACTCCTTTAAAAAATCTGCCAGTCATAAACTTGCTGTTACCTTATTACCTTCTTAATTCCCTGCAATATCTTATTTATGTATAATAGTATTTGAATTGTCAAAATTGTTTTGTTAATGCCTCATTCCTCCTAGGGCTGACTGCTAGAGATATCCTATATGGCACACAAAGTATGTGTTACTTTCCCATTTATTTTTAAGTAAAATTCTGAATAAAATTTGCATTTGGCTGTCCCATCCTTTTAGGGAATATGTTCTGAATTCTACCTCAGGAGGCACATGAGGTGTGAACTCTATATCTAATGTAAAACCAAATATATATGTAATATATATGTAAAATATATGTAATGTACTCTATATATCACACAAAACCAAAGAAAAAATAAGTATGATACTTTCGACTGACAGCATGCTACATTCTGGGGCAAAACAGTAGCAGGAGCTGCATCTTTTATTTCCCTATATAACTGTAGATTTGTAAGCCAAGGATCCCTTTTTTTGGGAAAGCTATTCACTTATTCTACTACTCTTTAAAAATTCTAAAGTTATCATGGCCTTAGTGCCGAAGAAATGTGACATGCTTATAAAGAATTACAAACCCTTCAATAAATACACTCTAAATTCCTTTTGTATTTTCTAAGTGCTGTGTCTTGTAACCATCACTCTTAAATTAAAAGAGAGTAGCATGTGTTTAATCCCAGTTAAGTATTTTGGAGTTTCAAAATGCTCACCACATACTTTTTAATGGACTACTTATTTTAACTCCTCAGTTGGCTAAGGCCACTAAGAAATACATTAATTTATCCAGATTAATTTACTTAATAGCTTCTGCTGTGGTGATTTTTTTTTTTTTTTTTTTTTTTTTTTTTTTTTTTTTTTTTTTTTTTTTTTTTTTTTTTTTTTTGCACTGATATCACTCTTGAAATGTTAACTGCAAATATTTCAGTTGAAAATAAAGCTATAGCAGCTATTTTGGATTTGGCACCACAAGTCACTTGGCTTTTTTTCTCTTCTCTATAAAGACATAAAAATAACTCTAAGAATGTGATAAAATATGCAAAATATTGTAAATACTTTAAATTCAGCCTATTCAAATATTTTTCAGTTTCCATTGAATAGTAGTTGCTGCTATTACTGTTCCCATCAGATTATTTGCTTAATGGAAAGTTTTCCAAAGTGAATTCTAAAGGGGAACTAACAAAATGAAAGCAAATATGTTATAGACATGAAGTATTTTCTGAAAATATTTGGCATTAGCCTATTTATTTCTGTATCCTATATCCTTAAAGATTAGCACTTAAATGTATGTGAGGATTTAAAATATACAAATGAGCAAAAATTCACTAATAAAAATCAAATCAATGTTATTTAACTTAATTATAATATTAAATCCTATTGAAAAATCAGAATCAAGGGCTATTTATAGCCCTACATTACTATCTCAGCAGTTTTAAAGACCTAAATTACATTCTGTTCATTTCATTTTCAGTCTAGGCCTTTACACAGGTTCAGATAAGAATGTAGAAATGAAGAATTTTTACCTCATCACCCTTTTCCCCCACAAGCCCAGGAAATCCACGTTCACCTTTGCTTCCCTATGAAAACATAATATTCAAAACAAATATTTTCTATTAGAGAACAATGAATTTCATGCTTGTAGGGTACATTATATACATTCAATAAATGCTAGCATGATGTCCTTAGAGCCATAGTGCCTAAAACATAAAGTAGAGGCTCAAAACTATCTGAAAGATTTCAAATAAACCTCCCAGCAAGGTGAAAGGAAATGAGTGGTTTGTTCCTAGGAGGCAAAATACTCAAAAGACCTTAAGATGGAGACATTAACACCAGGAGTTTGAATGCTTGCTGAAATGGAGAAAGTTGACTTCCGTGGAATTAGTCCTGATGGTAGGAGATATCTGTATCTCAAGTCATGTGGCTTTTTATCTGATTCCAATGAAGTGGGATTTTGATGGATGCCAGTGACACTTCAAGTCCCAGGGAAATGGCTGTGCTGCTTCCATGGGAGCAGGGTGCAAAGGCACAGGGTGCTCAGCTGTGTCGCACGCTTGAGGGACACATGAGACGTTTGCCTCTTCACTGCAGGATTCTCTCTGACTGACTCACCTAAAATGAGTCTACAGATATCAAAGCACTGCTGGGCAGTCAGATCTGAGACAGCTTTAATGCAGGTATGACACAGAAAAGCTATCTGGGCCTGGGACTCAGCTCAGGCTATTTTGCTCACTCAACCTAGACAAAAGGCAAACTGACATGTGAAAAGGCTTGAAACATAAAAATCATTTGCACTTTTAAGCTTTTAGGTTGCCCAATGCTACAGGGATATGGATGAGACAAAAAAGTCATGTCTCGCAAAGGTAAGAATCTGTTCTTTTGCTTTTAACAAGAAACAAAGCAATGAAAAGTACACTCTTCAAAACTTACTTTTGGTCCTTCTCTTCCAGGAATGCCTGGAGGACCTCTTGTGCCAGGATCACCCTGTGGAGCAGACAGAAGACAAAGTGACAAATAAATATCTTTATGACAGAGATCTGATCCATGCAGACCAGTCTATGCACACTGTTTCCTTCCTGCCTTTCTGACCAGGCCTCCATTTTACCCCAAAGCTTCTCTTCAGTCCTTGCTCTCTTCTAAACCATATCCTTGTTCAGAGAGACTCCCTTGTTTTCCTCCCCATCTCACACTCTCTACTCAAATCATGCTAACACATTTTTAGCTTTACTTTGGATAGTCCCGGACACACCTGTGTTTAGGTTTGAGCATCTTCCTTTCAAGGATTAGTTAGAGATGAAGGCTACTTGTTACTCTCCCCAGCTTCAAATCTGTAGTTATTTAAAAGTAAATGACCCCTGCATTGCTGAGAGAAGCATTTGCCAGCTAAATTGCAGTCATATAGAAGTGCTAACTGCAAAACACTGAGAAATGAAGAATGAGGCATAAAGAAGCAGTAAGAGAGAGAGCCCTGACAAGAAGAGCATGTACAGCAGAAAAACCAGTACAATTACAAACAAAAAGAAAGACCTAAAATAAATCAGATTTGGAAATGAGAAAGTCAATAAACCCTAAGTATATGTATTAATAAAGGACAGTAGACATGATGTGTGCTTTTCATATTGGAATACTCCTGAGCACAATTTTCATTTCAGAATATTGCAGAACCCTCCAAATTTCATTATTTTTCAAAATAATATCTTAGAAATTCTAGACTATTTCCCCCATTTGGTATATTACTGAAATTAATGCTACAAAGTAAAGTGGAGAACTGGGTATATTTGTAACAATTACTGTGGGCTGGATGTGCTGAACAGGCACTTGCTGGCTACTACCTCACTTGCTGTTCAAACACTTTTTTTGTAAAATTTCTGTAAAACACATTTCTTGAGTATTTTTTAAAAGAAAACAAAAAAAAATTCACAATACTATTTTAGACTAGCCCTGTAAGTCAGAACTGAACCTACAGAAGCTCTCAAGTGCATGTTTAAAAAGCATGTTTATAGCAAAAGAATCCCATTTAATCTCTGAAAAATTTACCTTCAGTATAGCACCCATATCTCCCACAAGTGGAAGTGCAACCTGAAATTAACAAAGGCATCTGCAGTTAATATTTTACAAATTTTTAAATTTTGATGTGTTTTCATTGCTTCTAAACTTTATATTACTACACATAGAGCTGATTATATATATATATATGTTGATTCAATCTACTTTTTAATGAAAACTAAAAAGAAAAAACTGGTTTTCAGATATAGTTAAATATCACAGCCTATTCAACCTATCGATTGTAATTCTTAATTATAAATGCAATGAAATATCTCAAACCATGACAACAGCATAACTTCTGAACATACTAATATTGTTTTTGTAGCACATCAGTGACAGCTTAATGCTACTGGAATTTCTTGTATTCTTACCTGATAATCTTCAATTATTTTCTTTCTCCTTTCTCCTAGACTTTGACTCTACTGTCAAGTGTAGCACAAATTCTGGAGATGCCAAAGCTAACTTCAATAAATTAGCTCAGATACTGGAAATAATCCAGTTACAGCAACAAAAGCAACATATGTAGTATTTTTATCTGCTTTTAAATATTAATAATTAGTGCATGACTCCTTGGTGCCACCACTAAACTGCTACCAATACTAAAGCTGAGCCATTTAAAAAACAGTCCGTGGATCTATACTGTACTGAAACAGATCCCAGACTTCCAAGACCTGCCATTTAATTTATATTTAAAGACTACCTGTTAAAAACTCATTGCCCTGGTTGTCATCAACTTAATTCACAGACTCTCCAATTACTAATTCTCATTTTGTCTGGCAATTGCTAAATATAAAATCATATAAATCCTGGGCATACTATAAAATCTGACATTCAAAATAAGGTAACTTTTTATTCACCCTGTTTCAATTCTTTCCATCTTGAAGAAGAAAACTAAAATATAAGCACTTTTTTTAACCAAAGACTGCCAGTTAATAACAATGAGTGTCAAAGATCAGCTCAAGAGACGCACTGCTGAATATAATTAACCAGAAATATAATCAGCACACCATCAATAGGGTAGCATAACCACCCTTGAAAGCATGCCCAGTTGTTTTTTAGGGTGAGACAACACCACCTGGCACAACTTGAGGACAGAGTTATGTAAGGTGTGAGTCTATCCTCTCACAGAGGTAAACTACATAGACAGGATCAGCTGCTCTTAAAAACCTGTGACAAGATCCAAACCAAAAACCTACATGGCCTGACTTTTCACCCTTCTCCTTCTGATATTTTTCAGCTAGGCAGGCTATTACCATATCACCCGTTGGTCTTCCCACTGGACTAGAACTGTAATTTCCCCAGTCTCCCCTCTTTTCTAATGTTCTTATTTTAGCTGCTCTAACAATGCATGGCACAGAACCCTGAACCCTCAGTGTGGAACCCCAGCTGCAGAGGGCACACATGCACGAGAGCAAGCCAGCTGTGTGCCACACAGCTTCCCTGCTTGAGTGCAAGGCAAGTCCAGCCTGACTGCAAACACACTCTGCAGGGCCACACATCTGTGTGCTGCTCTCTCAATAAGTGTATGATTTATGCCGGGATTTTGAAAGTGTTAAAACAGCCTTAATTCTCCAGATTTGCTCCTGCTTGCTACATCTTCCTGGAAAAAATGTTCTTTCCAAAGAGAAGAGCAAAAGGCAATAATTACCCTGTTTGTGAGTTTTACCATTTAGACCTGTCTGTTTAATAGCAGCATCAAATATTTTACTTCCATTTAGTTTACAATGTGCTGTGCCTTCCAGACTTATTCTACTTATGGATTTTGGTTTTCCTTATTAAGCACTTTATTCTCATCTGTCTCAAGTTAAATCTTGTTGACTTCAGACAGCCTCTGAATTTTGATTACATCTTCAAAAAGCAAGCAATCTTTCCCACTCCAGCTGCAGAGTTTTATCTACTTACCCAAATCAAATTAAATCACTGACAAGAACTGAGCATGGGAGAGACCTCTCTTTCCAAGCTTGAAAATAATCTGCTAAGTGACACACAGATCCATGATTTTGGTAAGCATTAACTACATGGTAACTAATTTTAAGCATTTTTTCTTGCTTAAAGAAACATCATGAAGACAGTCTCAGTTTTATTAAGGCCACGTACATATCATGGCTGTTTTCCTGTCTTTCCCAACTAAGTATTTTTAATTTATCTTCATATCACTGGTTCTTATAGGCTTGATATGCTATCTCACCTCACGTAAATTTAATATATTTGCACCAAAGCAAATGCAAAAGTTTTTCCTGCATACGTACAGGATCACCTGGAGGGCCTGGTAGTCCTGGCTTTCCATCTCTTCCTGGAGTGCCCTAGAAACAAATGTAAAACTTAATGGCCTTAAATCATTGATGAGGTACACATTACTTTTTCTTGTATATACAAAAAACTGTTACTTACATTAATACCAGGGGTACCTGGAGCTCCTGGCAATCCTGGAGGTCCCCTAGGGCCCTGATAGAACAAAAGGTCATTTAGAATATAAGAATACTTTTCCTGCAAAATTCTTAAACTAAATTAATGTTTTTTGTATTAAAGAGAAAACTTATACCCTACCTGCACACCTGCTGATCCAGTTGGACCTATAGGACCCTGCAAGAAAACTCCAAATAATCAGTAGCTACACTTTCTGGGATAAGGGAGATGAACTTCATTAAAAAATGCTGAATGTAGAATATTTATGCAGTTTTCACGTTGAGAAAGTCTTGCTTTAAGGTTTGTCTTTAAATCCACACATAATTTTGCCAGAGTTAGAGACCTCTGGACTTTGTGAATGCCCATTTTTAGGGCAAGCATTTCCAAAAATTATTGATCTATGGTGAAACTTGGTATTTAGCAAGAAGATTTACTAGAAAATCTAATCAGCACTTGAATAAAACCAGATAATTTAGGTATATATGGGTAATTTTTAAAATTCAGATTTGAAAATACTGTAACAGAAAAGATTATCTTTAAGCGTTATTATTTTAGATTAAGACATTCAGGGTGAATACGTAGTCACCTTTTACAGATATTTCCTTTTTTATACCAGAGCACTGTCCATAAACTGAATACACATTGGTTGACTGAAGAGAGATTGCCTCAGTCACTGGAGTAAAACTCCTGCAGTAGCATGTACCACCCACCAGGCACACCATCAACATCAGCAAATTTTTTTACTGAGTACTTTGAAGGCACTGCTGGTGGCTTTATTTAAAGGCATTAAAAAGAAAGAAACTCAGGAAACAAGCTGAATTACTGAAACAGTTTTTGCTGTACAGATTATTTACTATGAATCCTTTGGATGTCTGTGTCAACTTGCTACACGTTGGAATTTAAATAGCACAGCAACCCTTGAAGCAAACTGGGAGCTGGGAGTCAGGCCAGATGGAGTTCATGGCTTTTCATGATGCTCTGTTTGCCTATTGCAGTTCCTCAGGGATGAACAGTGAGAAGCCCAAATTCTGGGTGTTGGTTTACTTACTGGTGATCCTTGAATGCCTATTCCAGGGGGCCCCATCTCCCCAGGTGCTCCCTGTACACCAGGTAGGCCTCTTTCTCCCTGTGAAAAGTAGAAGGCTTTCTATCACAACAGCTCTGAAAATGTAAACTATCATTTTATCTTTTAAAATATTTTTAGAAACAGAAATAATGCATTTGTCATACCTTTGGCCCTCTTGGACCTGGGTTTCCAGGAACACCAGTTGGACCCTAAAAGAAATCCAAAACAAAACACGAAAAAACCAAGAAAAAAAAAACAAATTATGTTTTGAAATCCAAGATACTAGATTAATTTAATGGCTAAAATTAGCCAGCCCTTAGAAATAAACTGTGACAAGTGTACATATCCTCCTTGTTAGTGCCAGTATCACTAGGATCATATGTGATATACTATTTCTAGACTACACTAATAGACTAGTAGACTTACACTATTTCTGTATTTTAGTGCACTTATAATACCACTGTGAAATATATTTTGATTTTGAAATTACAATAAAAAATACTTGCTCTGTGGCTTTAAACTGGAAGTGACTAAGCTTAGATTAGGTATTAGGAAGAAATTATTTACAGTGAGAGTGGAGGCACTGGAACAGGCTGCTGAGAGAAGTTTTGAATGCCCCATCTCTGGAAGTGTTCAAGGCCAGGTTGGATGGGGCTTTGAGTAACCTGCTCTAGTGGGAGATGTCCCTGCCTATAGTAGGGGGTTGGAACTAGATGATCTTTAAAGTATTTTCCGACACAAACCATTCTGTGATTTCTTTCATTGCACAATGAGAATTCTTTCCCAGTTTCCTCTGCAGAAAATAAAGTCAGGAAAGTATTTTCAGATTATGGACTTACTGGTGTTCCAGGCAGACTTGGTCCAGGAGGCCCCATATCACCTTTTGGACCTGGATGTCCAGGTGGTCCCATAATTCCACCAGGGTCACCCTACAAAATAAATTTGAATCACTAATTGAAATGTGAGAATTTTCCCCTATGAAAAAAACCCTAAATATTATCAAGTTTATCATAGAAAGTGCCAGTACTTTGAGAAGATATAGAGAAGAAAAAATACCCTCATATTTTCCTTCAAAAAGTTACAGAATTGGAGACATGGATCACATAACCATTAATAATAACTAGCATTCTCTTGGTTTTCCATGCTTGCAATGCATCTCATCTACATTTCTTGTTCCCCAGGCTCCTAATATGCAAGTTGTCATTAAACTCTGCCAACTAATTCATAGCAACAGCTGAAACAACAGCTGTCTCTCCCCAGCTATCAACCACTAGTGCTAAACCTGGGATCTTCAGTGTATTCCTCTTTACACCGCTGTTCTTTCAACACATGCAGTGTCTCTTGTTCCCTCTCGCTAAACTCTGCTGCTTATGCAGTAAAATTGTGCCTTTTGTTATGCTGTCCTCTTGTCTCTTACAGGTTCCTGCAACATCCTCTGTGATTCTTTCTGAATCCACCACTTCCCATTTTGCAATATAAGTACATTTTTGTCCTTGTTCCAGTTATTTTCTTTGCCTTTCTTTCATTCATCTCACTTCTTCAGACTGGAGTTTACTGCTTTCCCTTGTACCTCACAATGTATAAATACCACAACACATCACACAGCTCAGAGCACACCTGGATATCTTTTTTCTCCTTCTTTACATTCAGTATATAGAGACATAATTTTTAGCTCTTGCTGATGCAGCTGAATTCTAACTAAGGGATTTCTACACAGCAAAATACAATGTCCTAAGGAGATCCAGCCTTAGCTTACATCTGAGCCAGTGTAGCTGCCCTAGAGCTCTGCCAAGAAGAAAATGTCTGACTGTGAAGTGGGATTTTACACATTAGTCTGGGTAGGACACTAGCCTGAAAAGGTTGTTCTGTAGTCAGGACCTGAAGTGACATTTCTGCACAGCACAGATTTAATGCAAGGGCACAGTCCAATCTCTTTGAAATATTACTTAAATTATTCATCTAAAGAGCAACTGGGTTGCCAAACTGGCCTGAACTATCTCCAAATGCAGAGATGTCTCTTCTCCAAGACACAGGGGGTTGCTGCTGGTACATTTTAAAATCACTTCACACAGCAGCCACACAGATGCACTACAGAAGAATGGAAGGTTACTCTTGAAGTGAAAATTTAAAATGCTTTAACATATCAAGTTTAATTAAAAACACTTTAAACGTACCTTGTCTCCTTTAATTCCTGGGTTTCCTGGTACCCCAGGATCTCCTGGTAAGCCCTGGAATTAATACAAATATAATGGTATGTTTTTATAGCTACTCCCTTAATGGTTATATAAAAATACAGATGAAAATTAGTTTTCACTGTAATGTTTATTGTGCATTAGTATTGATCCCAAATGTTAACGACTGCAAGTTAATGAATGCTTCCTTACTTTAAATATATAAATATTTTTTCTTTAAATTAAACTGTAATAATAAAGATTATTTTTTGACCCTATAATGGGAGAATGGCAGAGATCAAAAGGTTTAATTGTTCTATTTCAAAGTAGTTCTAAGTCTTGAAAATCAACTGGTTTTTCTAGGAAAGAAGTAGCACATAAAAATTTGCATTTTAAGTAAGTGTCATCTTTTTTGCCCATAGAGGGCTGCATGATTTCCTGTAGTAGTTAATTATTCAAACTGGTATCTTAAAAGCCTCAATTAATTCCTTCTCCTTCACAATAGTTAATCCAACAAATCCCTTTAAATGTTTTAGATATGTAATAGACAGTCAAACGTTATCAGTAAATAAAGTATGTTTCATCCTCTCTTTTGTCTAAATCTCATCTTTCACATTTTGATTTTAACTTATTTTCCCTTGTCCTTTTCATGAAGGATTTTTCTAAATGCAGAGAAATGAAGATAAATTAAAAATATTAAAATCTAAATAGAAACTATTAAACCAGTAAGGCTTAATTGGGTTCTCTCACAATACTGCAACAACTACAGAAAACTTTTTTCCATGACTCTTCAATGTTATTCAACCAACTATTTAGTCAACCATTTTGTTAAGAATACCAGTAATTTTAACAGTAAGTATAAAATTGCCGAAACGGAACAGTAAAATCTAAGTATGAAACATAAGCTGGACTGAAAAATGAACTCCCTAAGAAAAAGACAAGGAAACACACATTGTTTTAATTTTTCTTCTCAGTGTAAAACACAGTTTTGTGCACATTGACATATGACAGATGACAACATTTTCGTGCCAGTAGTGAATGCTCAGCAGCTGTGTTTGCTTTCTCTGCTGTATTCTATACTTAATAGAGACAGCTACTCATTTCACCCAGTCATCCAAACTAAAAGCATAAGAAAGAAAGTACCCTAATGAAGAATATTCTGCTTATACCAACACAAAATCATGATGGAAATGAAAATTTATGCTTACTAAGATCATGGCCTACCCTATCCACTTTTGACACTGGCATAAATACATACAGCCTCTCTTCTCTCTCTTCTTTTCTAAGGATTTCCCAAATTATTTTTTTTGGCTGGACCAAGCTCAAGTGGTTTCTTAGGAAAATAAGTAATTCTTATCTGCTAGATGACTCTTTGATGATGTAAAATAATGTAAAACGATTTTTCAAACTTTCATAATTGTTGTCATACTGCATAAAATGAATGATTATATTTTTTAATCTATAATGTTTCAACTTTAGAAGATAAAAAACCAAGGAGCTTATAGCTAAGGACAATGTGTCTATAATACATTTAAATTTATGTTTTTACATACTAGAATTGTGTGCACAGATAGGAGTCTTCAGGATCATTGAGATTTAGGACTAACATATAATTAGTATTTGTCTGTTTATAATGTTCTCTTGATTAAAGATCCATCAGAACAGCACTATCAAAAGCAGCAACTATGAACTCAAGAGGGATGATGGCAACACAAGCAAGAGAGAAATGAGTATTTGTTATCTTTCACAGTAGGATTGGTGATTTATACATAAAAAGAAGCACAGCAGATAAGGCTTGCAAACTTTTCAATAGATGGTAGGTAAATCAGACACCACTGAAAAAACATGCCTCAACTGAGTAGGAAAAAGATAATAAAATGGTCAACAAGTAACAGTATAAAATTACTACATGCAAATTTAAATACTAGTTATTTTTTCCCTTGTCAAGAGCTGAAGATGTTGTATGCTATGTGTCAACCTGCTTATATCCCTAAGATTTTTAATAGGTCACCAAAAAAAGGTCTGCTAATTCTGTACCACTCAGAAGGGTATTTTAATATTAATAGGTATATGGCTTAAAAGTCTGTTCAAAATATGAATCTTCTTCCACAATGTATGTATGTATGGCATGTATGGAAAGTCCGAAGACAAAATGCAGCACACCAGCTTCTAGATGTTCCTGCTGGTAAGAAAAAGATGAAGACCAAAACTACACACACAGAGCAATTATTGAAATCCGAGTCCTTTTTGAGTGGCTGAACTACTAGGCTAAAGCTAAGCTTTTTATTGTCTGCTTTTCTTGATCCACTTCTCAGATCTAACCGCTCTTACCTCCAAAATGCTATTTAAAAACCATTTTATGGTTTACAGAAGAAGGGAGGTACAAGAACCAAGAAGAGGGGGTAGGTGCCACTTGCTAGGTTATGTGACACCACTAGTGTTGTGAACTGAAACACAGGGAATTAGGCAGACTGAAAGAGGGATTGTGCCATAATTTGCAAGGGAGACAGGCAGCCACTGCCCCAGGAGAGGCTTCTGCTATATGTGGCTGTCAAATCAAATACCCAGGGCACTTTCAAGTTTAATATAATGGTGATTAATAGTTTAAGGTGTTTCCTAGAGAATCCAGACTGGATTGACATTTTACCCTTGGTCTTCACAGAGGCACAAAGGTTACAAGCATGATGGATCTTGGGGTATGTGCCTACCAGTTTGAGAAATCCCAAACAGCCAGGAGACCCATCAGGCTGCTGCCCAGTGGCATAATTGTTACAGGGGCACTAAAATCCCCATGAAGGAGGGTCTCCCCATGGCCTTGCCCAATCAGCTGGCAGACCTGAATGTGGGGCACCCAAAACCACAATGACTACAGGACATACCAACTCTGCTGAGAAGTACCACTCCTTGGCACTCCCAACCCACCAGTTTCACACCCACAAGCACACTGCATCTCTGGGAGCCTTGCCCAGTAACATCTGGGCCTGGTAACTGTGAGAAGATGCATAACACAAACCAAGAGAACTTCTTGCTTAACCATCCCAGCCAAGCTCCAGGCTGGAAGCCAGCACCCAACGAACATAACACTAACAGGGGAACAAGGGAGAGACAATCAAGAAGGGTGAAAGCTCTCATGTCTGTCACCCCAATATCCACTCCAGGCTGTCAAACAGTGTCAGAAGTATGTTATAGATGGTGTACTGAAACTCAAGATAATGGCCTGTTGAGGGAGGTATCCCATACTACTGTGCTTCAACACTTGATAGCTACAGTGCCACCCAAAAAAAGAGCAGCTATGGTAAGTTCTGTGGCACTGCTTCACTGGCTAACTGCTCATGCACCACAGCTACAGCTGGAGAAATGGCACAATACATACAGCTTCTCCTGGCAGTCCCCTGGGTCCAACAGGTCCTGGAGGGCCTTGCAGTCCCTGTGAAATGATATAATACGCACTTGAGGTAAAAGTCAATCAACTACTGTAATATGGTGAAAAGCATTCCTATATATAAATATATTAAAACATCAGGCATTAAGAATTATTTTCCACATGGAGTAAAAAGTACAGAGTTTGCTCATTCTCCCTTACTCTAAGATTTAGTTCAGTAAGTCCTGTGGACTGATATGTACGAAATCCAAAGTACATATCTAAAGCAAATACAAGTACGTACAAAGGGAATACCTAAAGGGAAAGACATTAAAAAAAGAACAGATCAAGATTTCAAGAATCATTTGTACAACAACAATTTTGAGGCTTCTATAGCCACATCCATTCTCACTGGGCCCTCTTTTCATGATCTAAAATTCAGACACTATCCAGCAATGAATATTGTTGGGTCGCAGTTGGATTAAATAGTTTCTAAATCTAACTGTGTTTGATACAATTCAAGGCGTCACGAGAGATCCTCAAGAATGTTTGTACTTCAGTTTCTTTCTTCACAGACTCACAAAATTGTAGGGAAGTTAGAAGCCACATTGTAGAATGGGTTATCTGGTTCAGCCTTCCTTTGCAAGCAGGATCATTCCTGTACATTGCAGTTTCTTCCAGTGAGGGAGATTCTGCAACCTCCCTGGGCAATTTGTTCCATTGCTCAGTCACCCACACAGTAAGGAAGTTCTTCCTCATGTTCAGGTGGAACTTCCTGTGCATCAGTTTCTGCCCATTGCTTCTTGTCCTATTGCTTGGCACCAGTGGGAAGGGCTGGAAATCTCAACACTGCTGTTTAGATACTGATAGACAGTGATGAGGTCTCCTTCCAGTTGACTTTTCTCTAGGTTAAACAGGCCCAGCTCCCTCAGCCTTTCCTTGTAAAAGAGATGCTTCAATCCCTTAGTCATCCTTGGTCTCCACTGGACCTGCTCCAGAAACTCCATGTCCCTCCTGTACTGAGGAGCCCAGAACTGGACACAGAACTCCAGATGTGGCCACACCAGGGCTGAGTAGAAGGGCAAGATCACTTGCTTCACCCAGCTGACCATGCTTTTCCTAATGCACCCCAGGACACCATTCGCCTTCTTGCCCACAAGGGCGCTGCTGGCTCATGGTGGAGCCCACCTGGCTCATCAGGATCTGCTGGTCCTTCTCCAAAGAGCTGCTTTCCAGCAAGTTGTCCCCTATGGTTATTCCTCCCCAGGTGCAGGACTCTGCACTTTGCTGAGTTTCAGACAGTTCTCTGCCCATCTCTCAAACCTGTCATGATCCCTCTGAAAGGGTGCACTCTGGGGTATTGGTTGCTCCTACCAGATTTTGTGTTGTAGGGAATTTGCTGAGGAGGTCTCTGCTCCTTCACCCAAGTCTTTGATGAACCAATTAAACAAGACTGAACCCTGATGGACAACACCAGTGACAGGACTCCAACTAGACCCTGTGCCATGATTATGAGCCTTTGGTATCTGCTGTTCAGCCAGCTCCAAATCCACCTCAGTGTCCACTCATCCAGTCCATACTTCCTGAGATTTTCCTATGAGGACAGACTCAAAGCCAGGCCATAACTGCCTTAACATTACCTGTTGCCTCACAGGCTTAAACAAAGGAGCTACTCAAGTACTGGTAGTGGTTGCTCCTTGCCTCACCAAGGCATAAAGAGAATGCACCCAGCTACCAGTGGATTTCTAATTGCAAAACGAGTGCTTATATTCTCAAGTGACAAAATAATACCTGAGTGTTTTATGAATATTCCTTTCTGTGTGACACTGAGAGCAAGAACTGAATGTAAAATGTAAATTTTATGTAAAACCTAAATGTTATGTTTGGCTTGATCCAAGCACAAACTTTTGATAAATGCTTTCTTTGCCTATTAATAGTAGCTAAAGAGTTGATAGCTTCAGATTCCTCTTCTATATAGAATGCAATTGTTATTGGATGAAATAGCATTCACTTACCTTTGATCCTGGATTTCCAATAAGACCAGGTGGTCCAGGATCTCCAATTTCACCCTAATTATTTTGTTTGAGAAAAGAAAAAATCCCAAGTTTACTGCTGTATCTCTCAGCATCATCTATGTATACTGGTAACGTAGTATACACAAGTCCAAAAATACCTTATTTCCTTTTGATCCCTCCAGTCCAGTCTCTCCCTGAAAATAGTAAATACAACTGTAAGAAGTTACAAATTTAGGTAGGATCAAATAAAAGTTCAGTTTGCTACCTTAAAATATTGCAATACAGTTTGCAAACTTAAATATTGAGAAAATATGAAATAATTTCTGATGCCTTTTGCAAACTCTGAAAGACATAGCAACCTAATTTTTTTGCAAGTTTTCCCAATTAAAGGAAAAGTGTTTGAAAACACTACATTTCCTGAAGAGCATTTCCAGTCTATTTCCAGGCTATTCTTCACATCTCTTCTGGTACCCATTATTCACCTCTATACCCACACTTTATTACAGTAGGACTTATTCTGATTATTATAATACCTTAACCACAAATATCTCAGCAACCTTGAGCTTTATATTAAAAATCATAACTAGCTTTTGTCAAGTATCATAAGAGAGAATAGTAATTAATTACAAATATGTAACATAAGCAAAGAGACCCTTACAGAATGAGTGTTCTGAAAATCTGCCTCAAAATAAGAAAATGGCTGTACGAGAACAGCCTGATGTTAAATGCCACACTGATGGCATCAAAACAGTACCGTTCACACCACATAAAACTTTGTTGAAAAGCTGAAAGAAAGAACTTAAAGGGAATAAAGAAAGCATGTGCTCTAAACTCAGTTCATGAAAACAGGACACCTTTGTTTTTTATTTATAACCTGGGAGACCTTGGTGCACATGTAAGGAGACAATACATATGCTATCTCATGTAATCCCTGCATCTAACAAATGTCTACAAAGAAAAGAATTACAGAATGAATATGGTATGACAGTAATCTCAAGTGGACATTATTCACAGCAGTTCAAAACATGCTATACTTACTGGGTCTCCTTTGTCCCCTTTTACAGAAGGCTCTCCCTGGGGAAAAGTAGAAAATAGGTTAACAGATTTATTTAAAATGATAAAAAGCATATATGTCTGGTTTTGCTGAAGAGTCCTGGAAAATGTGGCTATTTAAAACCTGTCTAAAATACAAATATATGTACTACAAAGTTTACTTGAAAGATGATGTTGATTTAATGCCAAGACCATGACATCCATGATCCTTTCAAGCAGGAGCACAAAGAAGGGTCAGGAACATAAACTAAAGAGAGTAATCAAGAGTCCAAATCTGAAAAATTCTGAAACACAGATGCTTAATAAGACAAAAAATCATAAATATGTTATATCAAGGGAGTAAAAATACTGTTTCTGCCTGCATGAAAACTATTTTTATAGGTATGAACAAAGAAATCAAGAAGCCTCACAGCGAATGGGGAAACACCTATTAATCAGTAGAACTATGTATAACATACGTTCCTAGAAAAGTAAAATACAAGTCTGTTCCCAAATAATACTTCCCAAATAATACTGAAAAATTTATGCTTAAACTAAAATATACTAAATTAGAATGCTAGTTTGTAAATTTTAATAATTTAAAGCTTCTTGTTTTTTCATCTAGATATAGAAGATCTATACATTCACAACTTGAAAAACTATGACTGGCACCTAATTAATGAGGCAGCCTCTGGTCATAAACTTATATAAAAATAAATTTAAACTGGTATTAAGTAAATGTCTGAATATTTTTAAAGCTAAGGACTTTGTGAGCTGGTAGAGCAGGGAAATTTACTTGCCTATGTAAATACCCTCTCAAGGAATGGCTTGAATAAAGTACAAAGAATATTTAGAGACTGACAGCTTTTTCCATACACAAGCATTTTTTTGTTGATCTCCTGTACATTTTGCAGGATTTCATTCATAATCAGTACATTGTGTCAACTTCTAGTAAATACATGAGCTCAGAAGTAGAGGAATTAACTCACCTTTTCTCCTTTTGCACCAGTCATTCCCAAGTCTCCTTTTTGACCCTTTTAACAAAATTAATGATATTTAAAATCTTTGTATTCTGGCAAATGTAAATAACTCCCTCCTCTTCTTTAACTGTATTTTGTTGTATGTGGGCCACAAAATCTTAACAGTTGTTACAATGGAAATCAAGCTTAAACATCTGCAAGTGAATTTAAATTACTGTTTTCTATAGAAGATCTGCATGCTTGTCAATAAAATGTTGTCCATTCTGTCACATATCCAGAGCACTTGTCTCTTCTCTTGAAAGTTAGAAAGGCATGCAAGTTTTAAAATATCAGTGAGCTGTTTATATAGAACAGATAACTATAAACAATATAGTGCCATATGGTGTTGATTCAGAATTAGACTTGCATGTAATTTTTAGAGGTTGTCTATGAGTATTTTTGGTATAGAAAGCCTCATTGTTACAGAGTAACTGCTTTAAATATTCATTATTTACTATCCAAAATATTTTCTGAATTTCAACTTTTTCAGTCTTTCCCACGTAACTGGCAGGACAGCTATTTGACTTCTCAGATGGCATTATAGAAACCATACATAATTCTTTCAGCATTTCTCCTTTCTATTTATACTAGAGGAGTTATCCTGCTGCCACTGCAGTATAGCATGATGAGTTGGATATTGGTCTACACAGATCAAAGTGCCAGTCATCTCAAAAATCTATTCCTTCAAAGTCCATTGGGATAAATCAAATAAAATCCACTGTGTGGAGGGCGGCAGGGAGAGGTTGGGTAGGCACTTTGAAACTTCTCCATTCATTCCAAATTCTTACAATGTCTCCTTTCTGGCCTTTAAGTCCAAGGGTCCCAAGTTCTCTTAGTAGTCTTGCATCACTCTGGAAAGAAATATCACCATAAAGATCAGAAAACGCCACTATTTACTTCCAGTAACAATTTATTTACAGTAGCAATTTATTGTAACTAACCAGTTGTAAATTCAGAAGTCCTAATTTACTAAAAAGGGAATAATATTAAATGCCTATGCAGTACTCCTGCCACACTTGCAGAAAATGAACAAAAGCATAAAAGGGAAATGTCTATTGACTATTGCTATGTAAATCTATGATTTTTAAGTTCAACACAAAGAACATATTTTTATGCTCATTGTTACAATACATTTCTCAAGAATGTTCAAAAAAAAGAAAACCCCCCACTTTTATGAAGAAGAACAACAAGCTTTTTACTTTTGAGCACCATGAAATGTAAAAAACTAGAGCTAATTTAAGTTTACTACAGTAGTAAGACAAAGGAGAGGGAACAGGCTCCTCACATTGCTTCTCAAAGAAGACAGACTTAAGGACTAGAAAGTTCAGGTTCTATACTTGCTCAGCTGTTATTGCATTGCATTTATTTATTCTCTGTACAAGGTAAAAACACAATAAAACACAAAGCATATGGTTTCCCTTTCATAAAGTCAGACTTCCTAAGGGGAAGATGTTTCTTTGCAATGACAATGGAAAAAGAAACAAAACCCCAATAACCCTGAAAAATGAGCTCCGGTTAAGACCCAGGGAATCCCAATCACAGAACAGATGCTACTGGGTGAGCAGGAACCCTGAGTAAGCCAACTCCACTTGCCATATCCCAGTTTCCATAGCTCTAAAATGGGAAAATATCACAATGAATAAATGTGCCATTTACACTATGTTAATATTTTCAGAAGATGGTAACTGAATATAAATTGGAAAAAAAAAATCAATAATTATTTTAGAAATGCTAACTTCCTGATAGATTTAGGTGTTTAAGGCTTGCAACACTGAGTACACTAATTATCAAAATCACCTTCAGAACAAGATGCAGACACTCAGATACCTGAGTACTGATGAGAAGCAGTTGGCTACTACTGGACTGAGAATCCAGGTGTCTGTTACCATGAGTACACTACAAATTATGATTTATACTGAGTTGTGCTTTTTTTTTTTTTTTTTTTTCCATATATGGAACAAAAGAAAAAAAAATACTTTTAGACCAAATAACTACCCTTATGTTATTTGAATTTTTGAAGGTAATTTCCCCTTTAAAACCAAATGCAAGTAAAATATACATACACACACACACACACAAAAAAAAAAAAAAAACCTTAGAAAGTTAAGACTTAATTATCCCATAATAATCTAAAATTACTACAAATTATAATTATTCTGAAACATTTCCTGACAAGATTGTGTTGTAGTGTCAATTTCTTTTGTTTTGGTTTAATTTTTTATTCTTATGTACTGGAGAACATTTTTTTATTAAACTGGTTTAGATGTCCTTTCCAAAGATACTTAGAAGCAAGTTTGGCTAAATGACCTTATATCCACGTATGGCAAACTGGTAAAAAAGAAGGATGCCAAACAGAGGCCTTGAAAACCCAAGTAAAGATAACAGAGGCCTGAGAGTATATAGATACAAATCATGAGGCATCATTTATTCATCTCTGAAGGAATGAATGTAACGTACAGGGCAGAACCATTTTCTTGGCAAAAGAAGATAACAAAATGCGTTTATTGAACACATGCAAAGCATCTGATTCATGCTGAAAATGCAAAAGACATAACAAGAAGAAATAGAAAAACAGTCACCTGTAAAAACACAGGAAGAATGAGGGAAGCAATGCTCCAGTACTGTCTCCCACCCCATTAAGGATCAATGCTACTACTTATCCTAGACAGGTTCCTCTCACCTTCATTAAATAAAGACTGCTGATCTTGGTTTGCTGTTCAGCACAATTTGCTGCTGCAATCAGCAATTGTATTTATAGTGCTCTTTCACTGTATACATGATTCAAGTAAATTATGCTTTTAAAGGCTTGCACTCTAGCCTCCTTAAAAATCCCTCTGATAAAGTGATTGATGCTGACCCAGAAAAATCCTGGTTGCAATAAATTATTTAAATATATTGTGCAATTACCAATACTTATTACAGCAATCAGAAATTACCATACAGCAATCAGGAAAATTGCAAATAATCTCATAAGGAACAGAGAAATTAGAGAAACAGGAAAAACATTGTTAATTATGATGGGTCTTAAGAGCCACTACATTTCTTTGTATTGGTTTCTCATGATTCCCAGAAATACCAACACAAAGAAGTCATACTAATATTCTCAAGGAAAATAAAAAAAAAGGTGTGAAAATAGTTGTAACAACTAAAATGTGGTCAATAGCTAAACATTTTAAACACCAAACTGAAAGAAGACCTTGTGACATCCTTGAGAATATGGATAAAATGATGGAAGATGACATCACCATTCCCTGTGCTGTAAGGAACCTCAGAAACCTCAGAATATCACTCAAATATCATTTCACCAATGACAACTGAGGCACACAGCAAGTTCAATGCTGGAATGAGAAAGACTGCTTGATGTCTCCAAGGTGCTGGGGACAAAAATCAGCTTCTGTCATAATATGTAATAGCATGGAGAAAAGAAAAGTTATTGGTGCATACATCTACCTAAGTGAATCAAAGGCAAAGCAGAGAACCTGTTCTTTTCTTTGAAGACCCCTTTGCCTTGTCCTTGATGGGAATACCTCAATCCCATCCTAAAATGTATAGGAATTAATACCTTTGTTATTGGAGACTTGACTCTAGGAGTCAACTTTAACTGAAAGTTTTCATATTTAGAACCTTCTACTTGAATCAGAAAGCCAGCTCCTCTTTCATCTGGAATAAACCAGCATTTGCTTGTTGAACAATTAATTGCTTATGACAGAGTCATTAAAATCTTCAAACTAGACAGGTGAAGGAAGAAGAAAGTTGATAAGCTATCCAGGATTTGAAAGATAATTAATTTATAGACTCGTACCAGCTTGTCTACATTTTTTCCAGAAGTTTGTAAATTAGGAAATATTAGCCACCTTAAGAATACTTAGAGCCTTCTAATTATAAGAAACATGATTTTTGGAGACAGATGTGTGCCATTTCCCGGAGTTCATCACTGTTTGTATTTCCTCTTTCAGAATTAACCTTAAGGGGACTAACAGGATTAAAGAGACTGATAAGGCAGAGGTGGGGAATGAATTACAAAAAATATGGTATCAATAGAGGAAACTGTGTTGGTATCAGTGACAGCTCTTTGGCAGGAAAAAGAAACTGGTAAGGAAACCAAACGTGAAACCCAAAATATATAAAACTTCAACATATATATGTGAAGCAAGAGACCAAATACAGAAACAAACTCTCTAGGCATAAAAAAATGCTCTATGCTTAATTCCTAAGACATGCTTCTAAGATGATATACTGATTTGGGATGGATTAAATATCATAGTTAATATCAGAGAAATCACTTCAGTGATAAAAGCAGCTGGAAAGGTATGGTTGACATGAATTTAACACCACAATCCCTGTTCAAGGAAAGATTTTAGCACTCATCTGGGAATGTTAAATTAGAAAATTACCTGAATACATGTGCATTCTATTCATGTACAGTTAATGCATTCTAATATTAAAATAAATTAATTCCCTCCAGGCTTGACCTGCATGACTTAAGTTGTGATACACACATTAACTACTGTACTAGGGAAATAATGCTGCAATAGTGCATCTTGAATTTTGAATGTTTTCTCATCAGAGAGGTTACATACTCCCAAATCAGTTAAGCAAACTTCTCTATTTTCATACAATGGCAGACACTACCACAGCTTAAATGACTTGAAAGACCTGCAGTAAGAATGTAAAAGCTCTGTCAAGCTGAACACAGTCCTATGCAATTTGAACATTTTTAGTCCTTTAAGTTCTTTTAACTGCAGGAGCTTTTATAATTGACACAATATTTTTATTAGTCCATAATACTAATAATAAGGACAATTCTCATGGACTGCTGGCAGATCCTTTCAAAATTATGCCTCCTTGTCTTTCTATTTTACTCTTAGAATCATGACAGAGTTGGTAAAGAAAAAAACATCAAGTACAGTTTGAAGCAATTAGGTTTAGAAATGGGGAGGTGGTGCTTCACACTAACAGCAAGGTGGTCCACACATTTTCTTTCTGAGTTTTACCAATCAAAAACAAATAAGTAGAAGATGGATGGGAGGCAAGACACATGGCAGCAAGACAGAGGACACAGCAAGCATGTAACTGGAGTGTGAACTGGAGCTTGCAAAGGGATGCAGAAAGTGGGCAGGAGAGAAATTTCCTTTTGAATTAAACTGGAATGTGGCCAACAGAAATCAAAACTGTAGCAATTTCTAACTTAGATACTACTTAGTCATAAATCCACACAGATACCAAATCAAATTTCCATACCTCATTATAATGTTTGTTCAATGAATCCAGGATTCCTTTTAGTCCAGATGGGCCCTATATGGAAAAATATGCATCATTATGTCTGTAAATCTTTTTTAGAGAGCAGTGGAGATGTAAAAGGTTTCTGGTTTTTTTTTTTTTTTTTTTTTTTTTTTTTTTTTGAGTGTACAGTAAGTTATCTTCTGTAGCTTCATTATTTCTTTTTTATGGCACAGAGAAAGAAGAAAGGTAATTTTCAAATCTCTGAATTTTGAAAGCCAGCAACTTATTTTCAAGTGAATTGGTCAGTCAGAGAAGGCAGAAATGAAATCCGTATAAATTTTAATACAAGTCCCTTCTGGTATGAACAACATTCTTGTTCTGCAGCATTTTAAAACTCTTTCCACCAACTCAAAGCACAAGTTTTAATGTAGAAGTGGCTCCCAGTGTCAGTGAACAGCTAAGTTTTTAACCTGAGAGTACAGTAAGTGAAACTGAGGAAAGCCAGAATTCTCCAGAATACTAAATTTCTAATTTTATTAGCATTGTAAGTTTTTACTTAAACACACGTTTCATCAAGAAATTCAACACTGAAAAAGGAACTTCCTGACCAAATGAACATTTAGGACAGAAACACTGAAAAATGTGCTTGGGAAAAAACATGTTTGAACATTAAATCCCCCCATTTTTAGGCATACTCTGCCAAAAAGCATTCCCTCAATGAGATTTTTAAGTTTGGTAGATGGAGCAGAACACAGAAAGTACAGCCAGTTCTTACGAACTAAGACTCAATTAAATTTCCATATTTAGTCTCTTTGAGTTGAAGCTTTCACATAATGAAAATATGAAAATATGAATAATGAAAATATGAAAAACAACCACTCATGATGGCTGTAAGAAACATTTAACTGTACTAATAAGATTACAATATATTAAAGTAAATGATTTTGCCTGATTTACCCAGATGTAATATAGACAGGGCACAAGAGCACTCCTCTGGGACTTTTTATAATTACAATTTACCCTCTGCAGTTTTTGTCTTAGTGTGGATACTAGGAAAACCTGGAGGCCACATGAAACATCTCATGTGTTTCACTCCCTCCTTCTTCCCTACATTGGAAGAGACAAAAGTGCATTCCTGTTATTTCAAAGTGAATTATCACTTCAAATTTATGTTAATAATAAGATCAATATGATCATGATGTTTTGACTAAGATCTCACTCCAGTCTGATTTCTGAAGTTAATGGCAGAATTTTTACTTTGATATCCATAATAAAGCTGGCAATCTAGAACTGGGACTGAAGTATGATGACACTGCCTAGACATCTCAATGTTGACACTGTAAACCTGCTGTGTTGAATCCTTGAACTCAGGATTCCTGGAGAATTCTGAACTCCTGCAAGGAGTCCAAAATAAGAACTTTTTCTCCCTTTGCGTTTGACATCATGTACCATACTTCTTTTACTGATTTTCCACAACTGAAACTGCTGCAGTCACACAACTCAGGAGAAACTTAATGATGTATCTGTCATCAGCCCCAAACCCTCAGATATTATTTGTACATAAATAATTTTTGTCAGGATGAAAAGTATATTGACATAGTTTTGAAAAACAAATATCCTTAAAAATCCCCAGAATGTCTCATTACTAAGACAGTCAAGGAGAACTTTAGGTATTTGGGTTGCATTCTTGACTATGCCACAGCCTTTGAGTTACCAGTTTAGTATTTTCATTTTCCAAAAATTGACATAGATGTAATAATTTTATATTTCCATAATTTTTTCTACAATAAAAAACTAGCAAAACAAATGTATAACAACAGTCTTTAATAAAGACTTTTTTTCCTAAACCACAGTTTTCTTCCACAGTTTCATTAATATAGTTGCACAATCTACTCTGAAGTCTCTACAGACTAAAAAACCCCAGCAACATTGGTTTTAAAGTGAAGAAGCAATGAAATTAACAACAGTTGAAGAATTATTGTACCAGCAGTTTCTAGCTTTTGAATGAGAACTTTGCACATCTGCCACTTTGAAGCTCACTTGAGCAGGGTTTCCTTTTTTTTCTAATATCAAGTTGTGTAATTAAGAGAAGTGAAGCACACAGAGTAGAGTTGTATGAATAAAAAAAGAACTGAAAATGTGTCCTGATTGTTTTCCAAAATTGCAAACAGGTTTCAGATGTTATTTCTACAGACAAGGCAGGAATAGAAACACAGGTGCTTAAAGGGAAATAGCTCCAAACTGTGAAATTACTGGGGCTTACAACATATTTTCCTCCCTGAACTTTTATAGTTCACCTGCATTTCTGCAAAGATGAGACTGTTGAAAAAATCTACCCAATCTCACAGTCCATGCATAAAATGGGTAACAAGTAAATTGCATTGGTTGCATCTCAAAAAGAGGCCAATTCAGAGAACACAGCCTGCAAGTGACTCAGTGCAGTTACTTTATCCCGGTATTTCATTTTAATGCCTCCCATTAAAATAAGACATTGTTTTTCTGTTTATTTTAATGCAGAACATCATGAAACTCATCAGGGCAGATGCACAATATTGCATAACTATTCCGAAGAGCAAATGGAAAGAATGATGAAAACATGATGTCTGCCACAATAGGACACAATAAATAAATTACATTTTGATATGGATAAAAAAACTTAATGCATAGAAACAAGCAATAAGACCAACCTTTGCCAGCCATTCCCACACTATAATGTAAATGTTTCCAATATTCTTCTAAGAAGCAGCTGAAAATCCAGGAAAACCAGAAATGCTACTGACAATTTTCACCTATCATCACTTTGATTTTTTCTTTATTGTAATTATGCGATAACATTCACTCACTCCCAAAATGTTGGTAGAGGAATGACAATATTTCCTAAGGCAGAGGAAATGAAATTTCCTCAAAGTGAACTGCTGGCTACTTAAGATAACTAGTGTGGGGGCACTGACATATGTATTGAATTACAACACCAAATGTGTATGTAATTAAATGAAGAAGTTCAAGCAAACTCCTCTACTGCATCACATGCAATGCAGGCGAAAATGAAACCCTATTTTAATTTAAAACTAGCGAATAACACAAAGCTCATCTTCCAAAGAAAATACTTGAGAAGATAAAAAATAGGAAGTTCAGCCTCTTGCAAAGGTAAATGATAAACTGAATGATGAACTTCAAAAGTTATAGCAATTGTGAAATGAATCAATTACATCTATTGGGTGAAAACAATAGCTTAGCTTTGGATGTATCAGTTTAAAGAATGAATAATTGTGATTACAGTTTACTAGCCTGTGATTTAACACACGCTCAGTTTCTCTCCATCTCTGCCACAGGTAGATTGGACAAGGTTGTGTTTGGCCAGAACAGGCAGTCCTCCTGCTTCTAACCTTTACAAACCTGTGCTAGTAACGTTTCACTTCAGCTAAAGAATAACTGGACAAAAAAGTCAGACTCATCTGGAAGAATTTTTTAATACTGGTGCAAGTCTGTAGCACAACTCTAGCTTAGCACTCCTGATTTTAAAAACAAGCTAACTCACTAAAATGGGAACTATTAAGAAATGGAATTGCTCCAGTCATAACAGTTCCAGTAGAGAGAGAGAAAATCAGGACAGTAAAGATAAAGTTAACCCTCACTGGAGAAATGAGAAAAACTCCTTTTTTTCTGTTCTCTAGCCCATCTATGTAAATAGCTTTACCTGCTGATTCATTTAAAGGTAAAAATAAATAATTAGTAAACCCCCAACCTCAGCAGTGACAGACATCAGGGACCCCATCCATGTTGCTGAACTCTATAGACTTTTAGTCAGCAGCTATAGCAGAAGAGAGCAATCAGCTCAGTTCTGCAGTCTGATCAAAATGCAATTCCTACAACCTTAAAGCATCCTATTATCATAGTAATTCTTTTTGTTTCATAAAATCAGCATTTCAATTTCAGTGAAGAGTCTTGCTGAGCAGGGTAACAGAATGTGACAGTCTCTCTTTCAGAAGACTTTAGAAGAAAATGGAAGTAGGCAAATACATAAAATATATTTGAAGGGTACAGAGATATTGATTTTACAATCATAATTTTCAGAATGCTTGTGAGAACAAAGTGAATAGTGTGTTTAACAGAAGATTTTTACTGCTATCCAGGAGCTTGAAAAGTAGAGAAAAGGTCAAAAAGCACTAGAGGGAGCTACTGCTCTACTTGGATTCTTGTATTCAGCACAAATTGCTACCCGCTGGATTGAGATGGGTGTGAGCACAAATCTCGGCTCTCCTGTACTGAGATAACAGTACTCAAAAACTACAGCAAGGATGCATCCTACCAATTCTGAACCAGAAGAGAATCAACGAACACATTAAAAATCTATAATATGTAATAGACTTTACACAAATACAAAGGAAGAATATATTCCATAAGTTTACAAAAATATTTTTTATAGGTGATCAATAAAAATCCTCATTGACTCTTTGCCTTTTGTGAGCACAGGATTTGTTCCAAAGAGGGGAAAAAAAAAAGCATAAGGAAAAAAATGACACGAAAGAAAGGATATCTGGGAGAAATTTCACAGAAAATCCCACTTTAACTGAGTAGTTTCATTACCAGATGCCAATCAATCTATGTTTCTGACAGTGAAAAACGTTTTTAACCAAAGCTATGCAGATGATGTTAAGGGACTAGAAACTCACACCAAGCATTAATTTTACTTTAAAAACAATCCCCAGAAATTAGGTTAGGCAAAAAAAAGTAAAAAGATGAGATATCTAGAGAAGATTAGAACAGTCTTAAATGCTGCCATGCTACAAGTAGATTTTTGACTGTTAGCAGGTGCTTTTACACTTCAGTCACATGAAACCACAGCATGTATGCTGACTTCAATTTTTGTAACTTTCCAGTTTTCTTTAATTTTACCCCAGTCTTTTCCCCACAAATCCCTATATGTGCACATTGTTATTAGGACTGTCCTTTATAATAAATACTTTGAGTATTGTATTTTCTTATCACAGTTTTTATGTGTTTTTTTTTTTTTTTTTTTTTGTCAGTACTGAGCACTTGACTGACTAATATCAAAATGAAATACTCAACACCATGGCATAAAATGATAAATAAATTAGGTAAATTTATTAATTTCAAACACACAGTGCATGCTGTAGCTGCCCTAACAATTAATGACTGAATCTCTTTTCCTCAAAAACAATAAAAAATCCTTTTTTTTTTTTTTTTGAAACAGCAGCCAAAACATAAACTTTTTTAAACTGGAGAGTCTAATTTTTACATATTCAGTCTGTTAACTATTTTGTACCCTGTGTAGGCCAAAGTTATGCCAGCAAGCACCCTGCAGGTGTGACTGTTCTGTTGCACTTTGGAAAAGCCAGAGTAAGGGCTAACAATGCATCCATGTGCATGAAGCAGCTGCTTATTATTAGGGAAGAAAGGTAACTGGAAGCACAGCAAAATTGAATATAGTTTGAGCCTTGAAAAAGAGAGGGGAATGATGGATCCTGTTAAAGTTTTTTTGGTGTATATAAGCTGTGGCACTTGAAGTATGGGGATCCTGCCAATGCATGTTAGCAGGCATTGCTGCTTTTAGAGTATTCCTTTTTTATGTGTTATCTTCTCAGCCATGGAAGAGGAACACAAGATGGTGGTATAGCTGTATTCAAAGCGAGGAGTGCATCAAGAGAGTTACACCAGAAACAAATACTTTAAACCAATATTTAGGCCGTGGCTGTTTAAGGAATGCTTTTCTGTATGTAGTACTAGGCTATTACCCAATACAGAGTTCCTTGTAGTGACATTGCCATGCTGACAAAGTTGAGTTTTCCACTTGCTGCAAGAAAATCTGAGATAAATCTCAGTAATAGAAACACAACTTAGCTTCCTCTCAAGATTTCTGGTATATGTGTCAAGGATCATACATCTTCACAAGCCTGACCTGCCAGCAAATCTAGGCTGGCAGAAATCTGTAACGCAGAAACAGCTTTTCACTAGCTCACAAAAAGCTAAGTAGATTAGGTCTAACATTGACCTCTGCTATAGTTTGCTTTTTTATCCTTTAAAGGTTATATTTGGCACTTGTATTCATCTGTTTGGCCTCCTGCAATCTGCAATATCATTTCAGCATTAGGACTGTGCAGAAGACTCAAACAAGCAAGGCTTCAATATGATTGTATGCAGGGGACAAGAGTGAAAAGGAGGGATTTTAAACTGGTTTTATGCAGGATAAATGAATTCCACCATAAATGCCTCTTTCTAAACACGTTTTTCAAGAAAAAAATTATTTATGAAATGTATGCAGCTTTTGTTTTGGATGAGGGTAGATGACATCTGTTTCATTTTAGTCATTGTATCCTGTGCAGCAGTGCATTATTCTCTTCTCTCTACATGTAAGACCAGGTTGAAACATTTGAATCAAGTGTTCAGATGCATAAACCACTAGCCTTTATCCAGGTAAGCAAAAGAAGGAATTATAAGTTTTTTGTTTTATATTAAGAATGTAAAGCAGCAGAAGTTTACTTAATCCACAAATAGCTGTTTTGCATTTGTGCATGACAGCATTTTTATAATACAATGCACAGAGAATTTTACAAATATGACTGTCTTCTAACAAAAAAGGGCTGCTTTCATTGAAGACTAATGTACATTCATGCCTGACTTGAATTTTAAATCCTTTATTTTTATTTTTAATAGAGAAGAAAAAGAAAATCCCAAACCTCTTAGATCTGAGCTAAACCCTTTAGTTCTTCATATTACAAATCCTTTCATAAAGTCATGTATTTCTTAATCTTTTTAATTCTTCAGTCAACTCATTTGAACTACAGCTGAGTGCTCATTCCAGTGCTGGGTATAATCCTCCCCATCATTCAGACAGTTGGCACATGCTTCACAGAGTCCTTCATCTTTTAAATTACCCCTCTGAGACAGAAATTATCCCTTCTTCTACGAAGCATCATGCATTTTGCAAAGGGAATGAAAGCACAATATTCACAGCTAGCATACATGGCCAGTCTTTCTTTGAAATGCCGATTTCTGCTTCCTCTGCTGAAGTTTCCACCTTGTTCTTTCCCTCCTGTGTAGTCCCTCCTACTTGCAGACCCACTTCTTTTATTTATGCTGCAACAAAAGGCTACCAGTAGTAGGTGTTTGATACAGCAGCGTACACACAGATCAATTATTTTGAACTATAATTATCATCTGGTAACCTGCTATAAAAGAGTTAACGAAGTCCAAGGACAGAGTGAAAATTTCCCATTCCCCTCATTCGTTACTCACAGGAGGTCCTGGTGGCCCCGGTTTTCCTGGAAGGCCTGGTTTGCCTCGTCTCCCCTGGAAACAAAAAAATTACAACAGACATTTATAAATGCTGTGGTTAGGGACTGATTTGGAATAAGAATTCTAAGAAAAGATTTGTTGCCTTATGTATTAGCAAAAAAACCTCAACAAAATCCATTCAAAATTAACACTCTATATCAGTGACTGCAATACTATCTAATATGAGTAGTTTTAGGATTGCTTTTAATAGTTCTAACAAACTATATTTGCATCTCCATCGTGGTCACATTTTAAAATTTTGTCTCAAATATCGCATATTGATGTGGTTATTACATATGGTGCATATTGATAGGATTATTACAAAGTACCTTGATGAGGTGTAAAGAAATGATATTTGTATGAACACAGCAGAGCTTGGGATGTACATATGTGCAATATAACCCAATTAGAAAATATACGTACCTTCTTCTCTGGGATGTGATAATGAGCACAAAAGCCAGAGATTTATTTGCAAAAACAGTTCACCTTCTTTGTGCAATTACTACCATCTGTGTATATATAATGCACATGCAAAATCATTTGCAATAAAACATAAAGTCCATAAAAGTCTACTTAAGGGAGATTTTGCACTCAGTTTCTAAAAAACACATGCATATGTAACTATTACAATTTTTTAGTACAGATTTGCTTGAACAACTGTTTTCACATATGCTTTTTTTTAGGAAGATCAACATAAAAATGGAAGTAATTTACAGGAATTAACATCCTTATTGCCAAGCTGAAATCTGATGCACATTTTTTGGAAACAACAGCTGAGAACAACTAATATCTAGGTGAAAAGGCCAAAGAAAAAAGTGCTGTATCCATTAAGAGTAAACTTTTCCCTTGCATATGGCAAATGTAAATTAATGTTGAACATTAGTGGGGGGTGTCCTGGTAAAAACTTGGCTTAAAAAGTGAAAAAAATAAAATTCTGGCTGATGGTTCACAATTAACACCTAGGGATATTTCTGCAAGCTATGCTCGCTACTTCTAAGCATGCTTCTGTAGTTTGTTAAATAAGAGTGTCACATAGACTGCAGAAGTATTCTCAGGAACAGAAAGTGTAATCCAGTTTTGCTCTTTCCAGGTGAGAGCCCTGATCTGTAGGAAAGCTCTCTCATGATGTGCTTTTCATTAATCTTGATCTATACTGAGGGGATGTCAGTAAGGGTGGAAAATCCCTCTCACATTCTGCAGCTCTCCAGGGAAACCTCTTGCCTAGAAGCCAGGGACTCTCCTGAGAGTGGTAGGTATCTCAATCCCTTCAAGCTGAAGAAAGAACAAAGATTGTGTGGATGTGTTTCAGCCATTGGGCTGTGCCATACAACATGTACACTGCCACCATGATTTTATGAACGTCCTCAGCCAGTCAGCAGGAAACAAAACCACCTCAGCATGTTTGGAGCATCAGATTCCTGGGTCTTAACTAGCTGAGACATATGTTATGTGCTGAGCTGTTTAATCCCACCAGTACTTGCACATGCAGGGCTGTAACTGCTGCAGCTAAGGGTAAATTTTTAGAACCAAAATACAGTACTAGGTGCTTAGACTAGGCTCAAGGCTCTACTGGCCCTTACTACCCACCGTCAGCACGTCCTCTGCTGTGCTGGTAACACTCTCCCTGCAGCCCCAGGACCAGCTAGGGCTGGGGGCTCAGCTGGGCTAACGTGGAGTAGGTTTTGACTTTGGTCAGCTCACTGATGCTGCTCACTGAGCAACTGAGAAGCTCGCCTGGCCACACATGCACGAGCAAAGGGAGCTGTGGATAGCTACATCTGTACTTTTGGACTGACCTCTGCTTCGGAAACACAGGTGGACACTGATATTTCCTGACTTAAAAAAAAAAAAGAAACAGTAAACTTCCCTTAGAAAGTAGGAAAAACAGACTGAGAGGTAATAATGTAATAAACGAAGATAAATTACTCCATACTTTTAAAATAGTCCCTCCAAGTTATAATCATCTACAGTGTTGACTTCTTGAAGCACCCTCCTTTTCCTGTTTGAACTTATCTAAAATATCCTGAGGGTGACACTTAAAGTCACAGCCGTCTAAACAAAGTATCAAGGAAGTGTCAGGAGGAAGAAGACAGGGCTTTGATTGGCAGACACAACTGTGAATGAGGTGTTAATTACACAGGAAAACATGGAATATGTTGGGAAGGCAATTTTATCTCTGTTTACAAGATGAACTAAAATGTGATTTATGACATAACAAAGACAAAACTTGATGAACTTTCTGAAAAAAAAATCCAGTTATAAAAAAAAAATTGGGGATAGTTATTTTTACCATCATTTATTAATTACTAGAACACATACCCAGTGAAACATTTGCCCCACTTTTTATCCCATCATTATATTATTAGCAATTTTGCAATGTTGCATGCAAAACCACACAGATCAGTATGAGGCATAAGCTTTTTGTAGAGTAATAAAAGTCCCTTTTTTGCCTCCAAGCACCTTTGTAAACTGTCTGGTATTTTAAATTTAATACAGAAATGTATGAAAGGCCACTACCTTTCAGCAATACCTTTCAGATACAGAGACTTCAATATTAGGAATACTTTCTGCTGACTTCTCAGGATCAGCAGGGAAAAAAAAATATATATACTATAGTAAGAGTGTAAGTAGAAAAAATTGGTTTATGTTTTTGTTCGGGTAATTAAAACAATTAGAAGAATGTTTTTGACAAGCCCATTATGATGCTGCCTTGGGCAGACCATGAGCCAGACCATGACTAAATATTTACATTTTGATTTTGAGTCATCCTTCTGGCAAGAAAGAAGTGAAAAACATCTCAGTGCCCTCTCTGGTTTATAGAATGGGCTTAGCAGAGAGTCAAAGTTCCCATCTCCTGCTCAGCTGTGGGTCTTGGTAGCCCCATGAGAGCCGTATTTATTGCCACTCTGCTGTGCAGAGGGCTGGTAGCCCACACAGGAGGCTTGCTACCTTCATTTAGCTTCATTGAGCAAATATTGAGGTTATAAACCACTCAAAATAGAAATAAATGTCCTAGGATCATATTGTTCCTTTAACTAAATAAAAAATGCAATACCACCTACATTCACTTAAAAACGATATGTGGTGTCAACAAGTTGTCTAATGCTACTTAGAATACCTGAAGAAGACCAAAACAGTTGCTGGTTATTTGCTTTGTGCTGCATATATTTTTGCTGCCAATCAATGTAATAAAAAGTTTTCTAAATGTTATTGATATTGGATGCTGCTCCCTTGACTCCTGCCCTGACTGATGTGTACAGCAGGCTACTTTCCTCTTTCCCAAAGGACAGACTTCAGCTAGATCATTCAAATGACAAATCATTCAAATATCAACTGCTTGGTTAGGGGCAAAATAAGATAAAATACTAAAAATAAAGCAAATGAGAGATTACGTGCTTCAGGAAACCCAGCTGAGTGCCTAGCTGAAGTATGTGGTAAGCTGCATTCTTTATTTCTCTTTTCCTTCACCCATTCTGTGAATTGAAATGACTTGATGAACTTTGCCTGACATGAGATGGAAAGCTGTTCAGAAGAGAGGCTCTGGTCATCCTCCCACAGGATTTGTGCTCTGGTTCTGACTGCTGACCCTGGGCACTGCTGCAGGTCCAGCACACAGTGCAAGAATTCAAAATCTGCATTGTAACCCTCTGCAGTACCATGCCATATCCATCTATTCACATCTCTAACTTTAGAGGAGTAAGATCTCTAATACTAGTGTTTAAAAATAAGCTGCAGATTATTTAAGGATAAAATCAAGCAGTTGTGTAGGAACACTGACATAATTTATGGAATTAATAATTTAAAGATTCTACACTTTAGTATGAAGGTAAACGTTCTTAGAATAAACCCATGGGAATTTTCAAGGGATAGTGCTAATTAGTGGTTTTTTGAAACACATCATCACATTTCAAAACAAGAAGTAGTTCTAAGAAAAGTAGAAATCTGGGCTTTAAAGGCTTGACTTCTGTAGTTGTTATGCAAAATTAATGAGGTTTATGTAATAGTTTTGCCAAGCTAAACTATGATTCTCTTGGTTAATCCTTGGTTAACCAGACTTAAAAAAGCACAGATATAACAGGAGGTGAGTGGGGAGTTAAGGACCCCTCACTGTGCCTGACCTACAGATGGCTGTCAGCACCTTGAGTACCTAAATGCAGCCACATTGAGCTCTGGGCAGTTAAAGAACTCCAGATGGCCAAAGTTGCCACCAAGCAGCCAAGTGCCAATTCCAGTGCCTACACTAACTCAGATTATAGCAAGAGTTTGGATAGTTTCTCCCCTAGATTGAAAATCTACATTGCAGAAAATGAAACCTTGTTAACTTCAGTAATACAGTGTTAGGATTTGAATGTACCATTTCTTTTTCAATCCTATTAACTTTGGCCTTGAGGATGTATTACGGTAACCAGTACATTACAAATTAACCTCTGTATTAGATGTTAAATTGAACAAAATCATAAGAAATAAGGCCAGAAGGAAAGAAATTAAAATTAAAATGCTTGCAGAAATCAAGTGCAAGTCTGTTCATCATACCCCACTAAAACCTTTCATAGAAACACAGCTCACAAAGAATAGAGCACACAGAGCCTAATCCTCTGTTTTGGGAGAAAAGTAAGTAGGGAGCACCTCACTGATGCAGAAGCCTTCCAGCACTCAATCTTGGGTTTCCAAAATAATTTTAGGAATGTTTTACAAAATCTCTAGTTTCTTTATTATGACATTAATAAAATGCTTAAAGGGATTCCTAGCCAGGCTACATAAAACTGAAATGTGCTTAACAAACAAAAACATCCTTAAACAGGCATAGCAATGTCAAGAAGTCAAATGCTATGACCTCTTTTGCCAAAAAATGATTAGACAAAATCCATCACAATTTTTCAAGTGTATCCATAAAAGTTCAATTTTATTTAAAAACAAAAGAAATAATTTTCAACTATATTTGGATAGTTTATACCTTAACTTTTATTATTAGATATAATTTCTTATTCTTTCATATTTCTATACCTTTGGCTAAA